TAAATCGCCGATAAGCGCTCAGCGACAGTTTTCTTTCTTTAATGTCTGAGATATTTGTGAAACAAACTGTTCATACATGCACTCGCAAGGTGAACATTTGCGGTAGATTAAAATCATTTCATTCCAGTCTCAAGACAAAGTTTTCATAATTCATATGTGAAAAGCATGAATATAAATTAACTTCTATTTCCTTATTTTTATTTACATGGGAAATTGTAAAATACAAAAGAATCATCTGGATGTTGAGCTTGCTAAAGAACTTTAACTTATAGTAAGTTTAATTAATGAGTATTCTGAATGATCAAGAAAATATTCCGTAAGCTCTTTCTCTTAAGTTGTTAAATAAATCTTACTCGGAACCGTTAGACTCTTATCCCTTGTGGGCAAGCAAAAGTGATTTAAAAATACGAGAGAATGTAAAATATCAAGTAAAATATCTTCTCAATAAACCCGGGTGACGTAATTAATCTCTCAAGCAAATACAAGAAACTGAGTGGGGATTCTCAATTCTTATAAACGAAACTGATGTTTTGATTCAGAATTCAGTGTCATTTCAGATTTCTTACTTAACCGTTGAGTGCAGAGTGTCAAATAATTTTATTGAATAAACACAAAAACAATGAGTTCTCCAATGTTATTAAAGCTTTGTGCAGTCTTCTGTTTATTGATGATTGGAACACTTGCGGATGTCTCCCATTTAGGTATTGAGAATGAATCAGTAATTAAAATTGAAAATATATGCTAGAACTTTAAGTAAAAAGTGTGAATGTGTAATATGACACAGAAGAAATAAACAACTGGATTAACAAGGTTCAACACGAATGAACATTATTAACGAAAATTCCAAGAATGTCATCAAATAGTTCTATAAATAGAGATAAGTTTGAAAATTGAATAGAAGCAAGAAAAGCAAACAATGAATAAATGTAAAAAATCTCTTGTTGAGTAACTTCTATAAAAATCTCCGTTCTGTGCAGTATGCCACTTACCACGCATTCAAATCTACCTACAACCTTTTCGAATGCGTTTCTCAGTTCATTTTTTTCATTCTTAACGAGTTTATTAAACTTTTCCGCTTTGCAATGACCATTGAGAAGAGGAAAATTACATGAAACTTGAATGATTTCTGACATTTTTAATCAATCAACATGTAAGTGTTTGCTCACGACTTCTTAATAATTAAATCTTTGAAAAGAATTCAATGTCAGGCTTTTGTCTTAATTCACGCGAATACTGATTTAAACAACTTTTTTATTTCTTTTTTGAATCACTCGAATCTTGTTATTAATGTGAATATCACACGCATTGATATTTAATTCTACAATATTATTTGTCGTTGAATAATATTTATGAAGAAACGTCCACGTTTAATGTAAAAAGATTATTTAGAGCTTCAATGAACTGTGAACTTGTACTTGGAAAATCTTATCATGGCTTTATTTGTTTTGAGTAAAAAACTAGCTGCAATATGAATTACCTTTAAGTCTCCTTAAAAGATTATTTGTGTAGGCGGTTTAGGCAGAAAGTAAATTCCAAATTTTATTTCAGCAAACAACAATGTCAACAGCAATGACTTGCTTGTGACAGACACTTGCTTGGGTTGCATCTGCGAAGCAAGTTCGGGGTGCGATAGAAACCTCAAATGTAATGGTGATGTTTGTGGAATGTTCCGAATCACATGGGCTTATTGGTCAGATAGTGGTAAACCAACACAACAAGGAGAATCTGTTGATAGTGAAACCGGTGAGTTATTTTTTCTCCTCGAAATGAGATAATCAATTCCGGGAAGAGAAAACCGGAATGAATATCAACTTCATTAATTCTCTTCTTCCTTTCTTCATCTTTTTCTCATTTTCCAGCATATGCAAATTGTGTGAACGAGCCTTTCTGTGCTGCCAGATCTATTCAAGGTTACATGAGAAAATATAAACGAGATTGTAACGGTGACGGTGTTAATAATTGCTACGACTATGCTGCAATCCACAAACTCGGTGCTAATGCCTGTAATAATGAACTTCCATATGGTTATCAAAAAACGTTGTCAGAATGTCTTGAATATGCTTTATCAAAGCCACAATCAGGTTAAAATAATTATGTTTAAGTACCTAATAGTTTTTAAAAAGCTCAGCCGAGTTGAGTAATGATAACATCAAAAATTTTTTAACAGTTTTCTTTATTATTCAATTGACATTTTATAATATAAATTCATATCGAAAAATAAAGTTTATTTAAGTCACTAAACAAACATTATTGTAAGCATCGACTTATTTTAACTAAAACTTTACATTAGATCGAACAAGAGAAATTATTGTGGCATGAATATAAAAATATTAAGAAATAAATTGCAATTGTTACAAAAGAGAATTTAATTTCTGTTGTTGCTTTTTTGGTGTGTAGAGAGAAGGATCTTGAAAAGCTCCTTTCATGGCAGAATCGAATATATGAGTTGGTATCACGACATTCTGTTTTATCTCACAAGCAACTGGCTGTTCACTTACAATTATTGAAGCATCTGATAACTTTTCTGTTATTGAACCAGAGCACAATAAGATGACCTCCCTTAAATACTCAACTTTTTTTTTGTTGTCAATTCCATCGATATTTAAGAAAAATAGTCCACGATTAGCGAATGTCAAATTTTTATAGTTCTTTGTTCCGAGAAATGAGCGCTCAAAGACCTAAATAAGAAACGAAGATAAGAATTATTATTGCAGATTTATAAATAATTAAATAAAATTAATCGTCAGAGTAGGGAGTGTACTAGCATTACACAAAAATGATTAAGATTACTGGGGAAAACCTCGGCTTGTTATGAATGAATCATAATAAAAAAATACTTCAAATGAATAAATAATTAGACTCACTTTGTTGGAATCACAAATTTCATGTTGATATATAGTTGTGTCGAGCCATTTGTTACGTGCAATAGATTCATGGATCCAATTAACATTAACAATCACACAAGCTCTGATAACTCCTCGTAGAACGTTCATCGTTCTCTCAATGTTTGGAGTGACAACATGAGTCGTTCGATGTGTGACTTCAGATTCTATTTTTCCTCCGAGTGTTGTAATCGCCTAAATAAAAATAATTAATTCATTGATTATATGATAACTTATTTTTTATAAGACTTACAGCTTGAATAATTTGTTTATCGCATTGTGACATATTTGTGCAAACAACGTATTTGAAGCTTTGACTAACTTTTGACGGCGTTCTTGTTGTTTTCAATGGAATTTCCTTAGATTTTTCTGGTTTGAAGTAAAGGTCAACAGTTCGACGACGATTTTCTTTTACTTTTGGTTTTTTCGATGTTATGTTTGGTGTGATGCATTCGCGGCTCATAAGTTTCTTTTTCTTTTTAGGATTCTCCAAGACATCATCAGTTATTTTACTTTGATTCTCTTTTTCCACTTCAAGTTCATAATCAACTTCAGCAGAGAAAAGTTGTCGTTTTTTGATAATGGCTGGTGTTGCTTGTTGAGTTGTGTCAATCCTTTTCGTTTGAGAATCAGTTGCTTTGGAAATTGAAGCTAAATTTCTGAGAAGATTTGATTGAAGATCTTCCTTCTTATTTAATGATTTACAATTAATATCAAGAATATTTATGGACATATCATAAACACTACGACGACTTAACTTAGCGATACGATTTGTCGAATTGAACACAACAGTTTTACTAGAATTTGCACTGAACCCTTCTGGTGTTAAAACTTCATCTTCAGTCTTTTCTTGTGATATTTGTGGAGTGAAAAAAAGAGTTTTTCGTCGATTTGCTGCAATATTTGTTTGTTCCATCGCATTTGGAGTGAAAGTTGTGAAACGTCGAATGTTTTCTTTCCATTTCTCTAGACCACTATCAATTCCTTCTAATTCCATTGCTTTTGGTGTATTAACTAAAGTTCTCTCACTTTGGAGAGTTAATTCCATGACTGATTCTTGTTCTTGTTCTTCTCCTTCAGCAATCCCTTCCATAATTTCAAAAATCGTTTCATTGCGAGTATCTTCTTGCGTTGCAGCTTTAATATTATGAATATCGTAATTGACTTTGTTCTCTGGTTGCATTGATTTCTGACGGCGAATGCGTTTGTAGAGCTCCGGATGTTCATAACGATCTAAATTCGAAATTTTAAATTTTTCTGTCTCTACTAATCGATGTTGATTTACACAAGCATCAATCCACAGAATTGTTGTTATTGGTATGCCCATTTTCTTCGCATTCTTGTAAGTAGAAAGAAGACCGTCTTTGAAAATGACATGGGTCGTATCCTTATAGAGCTTTTCATTGACAGCAATTCCATCACGAATGAGACGATTTTTTATGCCAGCAGATCTGTTATCGTCCCCCGTTCGAACTTCCACATAGATTCTACAATTTTTAAATACTTCACTTATTGTTTTAGGTTTATAAGACTTTCGTTCCTCTGTTGTGAGAATATCCTGTTGTTCGTGAGGAACGTCAAATGCGCCATAATTTGCTTTCCTGAATGATTGACATTTTAAAGCTTTATTTGCTCTGATTCGGGCTGTTGCTGAAGGGCTGTTTAAATCTCGTTGGATTTTATTGAAAATAGGATCAAGTACTGTTTTTTTCTGAATATCAATACATTTCTTTGAATTTGAGGGTGCTGTAAATAAATAAAATTAAAATTGAAGCTTCGCTAATACAAATTTCTCACTTTTTGGTGTGTCCTTGTTGTCTTTTAATAGAGTTGCAGCGGTTTCTTGAGGCAAACTGTTATCTAAGTTGCTATTTGAAGTCATCAATGAGCGTCTTCTTGTAATCATTGTCATTGGCGACGGCATAGCAGGAAGCAAAGAGTTCCTTTTTACACTGGAACTTTTTCGTGGCGTAGAAAACATTACTAAAGTTAAACTATTTAACTTTTATATCTTAGCAATGTATTGAGAAGGAATGTATACTTCAGATCAGGAAAGGATTGATATGGAAATAAATTAAGTATAATTCTGATACAAAGGCAACAAACGGCCGTTTAAATCTTCAACAAATGGGGTATACAAGATAGATGTGTCTTCAACACCCTTTATTTATTCTTGGAAGGGGGTTAAACTATGTCAACGTAAACAAACTTTTTTTTGAAAAACAATTTAAGGAAAATCTTTAAATTGCAGAAATAATGCTGAAGAAAGAGAAATCAGAAGAATTTTCCCGGCCTTTTAAATTATAAGTGTTTTTAATTAATTATTATTCATTATCAGAAATGTTCATTTAAATATATTTTACAGCTCATCAAATCCTTTCTTTGACCGGAATTTCATTCGAGAGAAAAAGTATAATTGTAAGTCTAGTTTTATTAGAAAATCGTAGAAATTCACTTCATTTCCATTGTATGTTTTTAGGGATTCACTGAATTGACCATCGTTCCAATACGAGAAACGTTGAAATACATCAAATTAAATGCCAAACAGTGTCGAATTTATAAAGTCATCTTGAATGATACTTACGAAGCACAATTCCACTATTTTGATCCTTTTATTGATATATGTCAAGCTGATCCCAACACGTAAGTTGTTTGAATATATTATAAAGAATAAGATACTTAAAAAACTGTTTTTCAGACGATCACTAGAACAATTTTCGAAACATCATTTAAACGCCGCTCAACAAGTTGATCCTGATTTAAATGCTGGTGAAGTCATCGTTGTCATTCCATTGGAAGCTAATCACTTAATAGGAGAAGGTCGAGGCTTACGTGTTGGAATAGAATTTTCTTTGGAAGATCCTATTGGCGGCATTCATTTTGTTATTCCAGACGATGGAACGGAGAATCCAAACGCAATGTACGATCTCGGCGCTCATATGTTCACTTATGGACACGAAAATTCATCTCGTCTCTGGTTCCCCTGTGTTGATAGCTACGCAGAACCATGCACATGGAAGCTTGAATTTACTGTTGATGAGAAAATGACGGCAGTTTCATGTGGTGAACTAATAGAGACAGTAATGACGCCTGATCTTCGTCGTAAAACTTTCCATTATGTTCTCAACACTCCCATTTGTTCACCTAACATTGCGCTTGCCGTTGGTCCATTTGAAATTTATGTCGATCCACATATGCATGAAGTGACGCATTTCTGTCTGCCGCATCTTCTTCCGCTTCTTAAGAACACTGTGCGATACATGCACGAAGCATTTGAATTCTTTGAAGAAGTTCTAGCATCGCGATATCCATTTTCATGTTATAAACAAGTTTTTGTTGATGAATTAGAAGGACAATCGCATGCTTATGCAACGATGTCTGTTCTAAGCACGAATTTGTTGCATTCGATTGCAATAATTGATCAAACTTTTGTATCGAGGACGATCATGTCAAAAGCGATTGCTGAACAATTCTTTGGATGTTTCATTACAATGAAGAACTGGAACGATGTGTGGTTGGCTCGAGGCATTGCTGAATATCTCAATGGATTTTATAATAAAAAATGTTTCGGCAACAATGCTTATCGTGCTTGGGTGCGACGAGAACTTTCCGAAGTTGTTCAGTATGAAGAACGATATGGTGGAATAATTTTAGATCCAAGTCAACCGCCTGCACCTCTTCCAGTTGCAAATCAATCGACGAAAGTTGTAGAAATACAAAAAGTTGAAAACGTTCATTACTTTCCCATTAAAAATCTTCACACAATGTCACCAAAATATGTGGAAATGATGCGAAAGAAAGCTCATCTGGTTATAAGAATGTTGGAACATCGCATTGGTCAAGAACTTTTATTACAAGTGTTTAACAAACAATTGGCTCTAGCAACGAATGCAGCAACGACAAAGATCAGCAGCGGCCTTTGGCATCAACTTTTGATATCGACAAATGTTTTTACAAAAGCAATTTTTACCGTCACTGGTAAAGACATGGCAGTGTTCATTGATCAATGGGTACGCACGGGAGGCCACGCTAAATTCTCATTGAATTCAGTTTTCAATCGTAAACGAAACACAATCGAATTGGAAATAAGACAAGAGTCAGTTAATCAGAAAGGTGTGAGGAAATATGTTGGACCGTTACTTGTGCAACTTCAAGAGCTTGACGGCACTTTTAAGCACACACTTCAGATTGAAAATACGGTCGTTAAAGCTGACATTACATGTCACAGCAAGTCACGTCGTAATAAGAAGAAAAAGATTCCATTATGCACCGGAGAAGAAGTTGACATGGATTTGTCAGTCATGGATGAATCTCCAGTTTTGTGGATTCGATTGGATCCTGAAATGACTTTGATGCGTCATGTCAATTGTGAACAGCCAGACTTTCAATGGCAATTTCAACTCAGACACGAACGTGATGTAACAGCCCAACTTGATGCAATTGTTGCATTGGAAAATTATGCAACAGCAGCAACGCGCGTTGCACTCACGGATGTCATTGAGAGTGAAAATTGTTTCTACGAAGTTCGATGTGAAGCTGCAAAATGTTTAACCAAAGTTGCCAATGCAATGCCACAATGGCAAGGACCACCAGCAATGCTGACAATCTTTCGAAAGCTTTTTGGCTCTTTCTCAGCATCGCACATTGTGCGACAAAATAATTTCGATAATTTTCAACATTATTTCCTTCAAAAAACGATTCCTGTGGCAATGGCGGGTTTGAGATCAGCTCACGGCATTTGCCCACCAGAAATTATGAGATTCCTTCTTGGACTTTTCAAATATAATGACAACATTAAGAATCATTATTCAGATGTTTATTATCGATCAGCGTTAGTTGATGCACTTGGAAATTCAATCACGCCTGTAATTTCTGTCATTCAACAAGGAGCTAAAATTACATCCGAAAACTTAACAGCAGACGCTAAACTTGTACTTGAAGAAGTTACAAGAATTTTAAATCTTGAGAAACATTTGCCGTCTTATAAATTCAGAGTGTCTGTGTCATGCCTCAAGGTGATAAGAAGGCTACAAAAATGTGGTCATCTTCCACCAAGTTCAAAGATTTATCGAAGTTATGCTGAATATGGTCAATACATTGATGTTCGACTTGCTGCAATGGAATGTCTGGTAGATTATTTGAAAGTTGATGGGCGATGGGACGATATGGAACATTTGTTGAAGATACTTGAGAATGATCCCGACCCAGAAGCGCGTCATCAACTTGCCAGACTGATGATTGAGAGCCCAGCATTTGAAAGAAATCGAGCACATCGATTGAATCGAAAAGATTTAAGAGAACGTCTTTGGAAGAATATGAATTCAAATCTTTCTCACGATACAAGACTTCGATGTGACATTGTGGATTTGTATTATGCTTTCTATGGAACGAAAGAGCCTTCCGCGTTTAAAGACCCCGAGCTTGAAGCTCTTTATCAACCACAGAAAGTTGAAGCTGAACAAAGAAGTGACAATGAAATGAAGATTGAATTAGATGATCAAATGGTGGATGTGAAAGACATCATTCCGGGACCAAGCATTGAAGGTGACTTTAAATCAATTGAAATTGAAACAGAAACTGTCGAAGATCATTCTGTGATGAAGCCAATGTTTGATGACGAAGATGTTCTGACTATTGAAACTCAAGGAGATGAATTGATAATGAAAATAGAAGCAGAAGATTTTCAAATCATTGAACAAAAGCCTCTTGATGCCGTTAAAAAGACTCATAAGATGGAAGATGTAACTGACAGTTCAACAAAGAAAAAAATCAAATTAGATTATACTTCGGACAACTCACAGTCTCAAGCAAGCATCGGCGATGTTCCAGTTGAAGGTGAAGTTAAAGAACATGGAGCAAAGGTAAGATTAACTTCTTTTAACAATTATTACCTATGTAGTTCATAAATTTATTTCATATTATAGAAAAAGAAAAAGAAGGAAAAGAAGAAGCATAAGAAACACAAACATCGAAAAGACAAGAAGAAAGAGAAACATAATCCTGAAATAATAAAGCAACGTGAAGAAGTTGAGACGCTTTCAAGTGGTGAGAGCTCGAGATCGTCACAAAACAGTCCAACACTTGATATGACGAATTAAGTAATTTTTTTAATTAATTAATAAATCAAAAAATTCACTAAATTATTCTTTCTGATTTTTATTTTCTTCTTGTTGTTTTTTAAATTCCATTTTAATTTTACGAAGCTTTTCGCTTTTACTCTGTGCTTTTAAATATTTTATTCGTTCTAAACGTTCACGTTGTTTGTTAATTGAATCATCTTTATTGAAATGTTCGTCTAGTTTTGCGATCAAAAGTTTCCTAGCTTCACGTCGATTTTGATCTAAGGATCTTGTCTCGTGACATTTCACTACAATGTTAGTTGGTTTATGCTTAAGAACAACACAATTAGCTGTCTTTTGAACAGATTGACCACCGGGACCACTTCCGAGAACAAAATTTTCTTCAAGATCTTCTTCTATGAGTTTCGGAACTTTTGAATGATCAAGTTGTTTGTTAATACTTCGACTAAAAAATCTAATTAAATGCGGGAATCGATAGACCTGGATCATTTTAAACAACGTTTCTACTTAAAAGAAAAACACGTCCTTGTTTTAAGCAATAAGGAATATCTTTTTCTTCAAGACTTTTGTTGTTTTCGAATTCCAACTTGACACGCTTGTTGTAATAAGATTTCTCGGTGAATTCAAGTGTTCTTCCGTGTCTTAAAAGTTCTATAAAGAACAAAAAGAAATAACAAGAAATTCAAAATGAATTATTTAAAGTACTTACGTCTGTATAATGAAAGCACTTGCTGGCGATAAACCATTTTAAATAGTAAAATCTTAAGAAGTTATGAAATTTGAGGTTTATTTTGCAGGGTCTGCTTCGGGCATTGTAAACAAATCCGAAGGGGCAAACTACGCTTGAAATTTAAGAACTGTCAGACCCTTCGGTAAATTCTCTCTTGGCCCCCAAGAAAAAATTATTTCAATTCATTCTGGTTATATGAAACTTTTGAAAATTGATACACATTGATAGTGAGTCATCGTGAACAATGATAAACATCTTATGAAAAATGAAAACTCGGTTGAATGTGAAAAAATAGACATTAAACGTCTTCTTATTATTTCTTTTTGGTGATTTGGATTTTTTTACGTTCATTTCTGATGAAGTCATAAGTCAAGTTTAAAAAACTTATGAAACTGATTTCAGCTCGTAAATTGTGCAGTGAAAGATCTTAATAAATTTTTTAGATATACAAGAAATCATCTGTAAAAGATCAGATATTGAAAATGAGTGAGATCAATAGTAATAATAAATTAGCAACAATTGATGTCTCAAAATCCGATGCCACGAAGTCGGGATGGCTATTAAAATGGACCAATTACTTGAAAGGTATGCTAAGTTAAAGATTCCTATCCATTGAAATGTTATGATTGTCATATCTTTAGGATATCAAAAACGATGGTTCGTGCTGTCGAATGGAATCTTGAGCTACTATAGGTAAGTTTCCCCTTTTCACATCTTTTCGCGAATTCCCTTTTATTCTTCAAATGGAGCCATTCATTGTTTTCAAATACTCGTGAAGTGGTTTATGTAATTATTATTTCTTTATAAATATATTTGTAATCTTTTCTCTTCTCTACATCGTTCATGGACACAATCTTTCTTTCTCTCTCTCTCATTGGTACTACACAAACACTTTACTTACTGACAATTTTAAAATCAACCTTTGAGCTATGTTATGAACTGTTTCTGCTATCTTTAAAATTTTTTTAAATAATTTCATGAATGATTATTTCGACTAAGTTATCTATAAGTAAAAAAATCATTAACACGAAATATTAAAATAGGTTTGAAGATGTTTGTTGAATGTTGCCTAATGTGATTTTTAGATTAAACATTTAGGTTTGTTCAAAGTTGAAAGTTCAACTCTACAAATTTACATTTCCTTTTTTTATTTACACGTGAATTTATATATAGCTTTTACTTGGTTTTCAACAATTATCATTTATGTCATTGCATGTGCATTATCATCTCATTGGTTGCCAACATATTGAACATCACGACACTAACTCATAAAGCAGGTGACGTAGCAATTTTCTTGCAGAATGTTGTAGTTTAAATTTTAAAGGTATTGACTATTAAGCTATGTTATTCAGTCGGTGATTGTTTTTAGTCGCTTATCGGTATAAAAGACATTTCCAATTATTGTCATTAAAACATTGATAATTATTTAGCAAGAAATGATTTTTATCGATGTTGTCGATATCTTTCAAATCTGAATTGCTTCCAATTGCTTGTATCAAATGAATTATTGATATAATCAATCGACCCAACTTTAATTTTTCCTAACAAACGAAAAAGAAAACAATTTTTTCTTTCATGTGAACAAATGTTTTATTTGGAAGGCGAAAACTAAAATTAATTTTGCTTTCCCATCAATTTATCGATTACATCAATTGCTGTTGCGAACCTTAGTTCTGTTTTTATTATACACATGAGGATTAGGTTCAAGAACCTCTGTGGATTGTATAAGCGAGAAACAATTCTTTTTAATAAATTAATTAATCAACAATTTTTAATCGTGTTGAAGTGCTTCTCTCTAACCCTAATTGTTGTCTTAAATCTTAATGATAACTTAAAACATAAAACGATTCATCTCATTCCATTTAATCCGACACTTATATCATCTTTTATACCTTCATTATGATTAGCCTAATTACTTTCTTTTTCTTTTAAAAATATCAACTACATTATATCAAATCTCTTAATTCTTCTATGCAATAATGTATCCTGTGCCTCGCTCTAATTATAAATCATCTGATTTATCATAAAATTAATCAAAAACACATTAGACAATCCCAAAAGAAGAAGAAAAGAAAAAAGTCGATTAAAAGCAATGAAAGTTCTCGAATTCAAAGTATTACAAGGAAGAGATTTGTTTATTATTTGGGGTGTTTAAATAGGACTGAGCCGGGAAGAGAGACGACCACTTTGGGTAATAGTCGCAGTTCTGTCGGTAAATTGTCGATTCGTCGTCGCAGGAAGAATCGCAGTCGATCTTCGACAGTGGAGTGAGTAAAATATGAGAAAAAAAAGTCAAAAGCTGAAATCAGAAATATTTATCACTCATTCATTCATTTCTGTTTTGTAACTATTCATAATCATTCTCAACACAAACAAATTGAAGCAAATTTTTATGTTCTCCAGCTTTGCTTTTCCTTATTATTTTATTTTCAAATAATTTCTAACCATTCATGACTCTTCCCTCAACTACATGTCTAGAATATTTTATTCTCTTTTATGTTCAACAACTGTAACTGAATAAGAATTATCATCTCGTACTCACCTTGACTTTCCTATGACGTAAATTATATTCAAATTTCATTTCTTTTTCTCTTATTTTCCTCATTTTTCACTCAAGAAAAATGATAGATTAATTTTTAATTTCATTACGTTGTTCTTGTCATTTCCCTTACGTTAATTAACATCACATGAATATAGATTTACGAAACATATGTTCTTAAATTACCGACTACGGCAAAAACAATCAATTACTTTCTTCCTTCGATTGTTTTCTCATATGTATAAATATTCAGCAATAATAATTACTTTGCATATGCATATTAAATATGTGCATGCAATTATAAAAATTATATAATAATCTTGCTTGAGTTTGTAGAGACAAACTTGAAAATAAAGATTTGAAAGCACGAACGATTTTTGTATTTTAATTGTTAATTCAGTTACGAAAAAGAAAATAAATATTAAATGTATGCTTAGTTGTCAATCTGAGATGTTTCCAATAGACGTCTGAATAAATAATCATTTTAAATAGGAGTAGCATAATAAATGTGTAAATTTCTTTTTGTAAATGTATTTTGTATCATTGTGCTTTCTATCACTCTCAATTATTTAAAACATTTGCAAAGATTTTTTCAAATAAGCAGCTTCAAAATATATTTAATTGATTTTCAAACCTTTCTTTCAGGAATCAAACTGAAGTGGCGCATACATGTCGGGGTACAATCTCATTGCATGGTGCCCTCATTCACACAGTTGACTCGTGTACTTTCGTCATTTCCAATGGTGGAACGCAAACTTTTCATATTAAAGGTAATACAATTGACCTCATTTGATACCACTGCATGCAATTTCTATGAACTTTTGTTTTGTGTAGCATCGAACGAAGTTGAACGCCAATCGTGGGTGACAGCACTTGAACTTGCTAAAGCAAAAGCGATTCGGGCTATCGAAAGTGAAGAAGAGGAAGAAGATAACACTGCAAATGCAATTCCAAGTGAAGAACTTAATACAGTCGTTCGTGATTTGACATTAAAGTAAGAGTTTGCGGATTAATAATGAAAGATTTTTCTTTAATTTAAATGTTTCATTTGTCAGATTGGAAAATTTAAAAACTTGCTACGACTTAATAACGAAACACGGTGCTGCCCTGCAAAGAGCCCTTGCTGAGCTTGAAAGTGGAGAAGACTTGGCAAGTAAACACAAGATTGTTAATGAACGTGCAACATTATTCAGAATATCATCAAATGCAATGATAAATGCTTGCACTGATTACTTGTCGACCGCTCAAACACAAGGACATAAATGGAGTAAAATGCTTCAACATGAGCGTGATCAAAAGTTACATTTAGAAGAGATGGTCGAACAATTAGCTCGTCAACATTCACACCTTGAACAAGCGGCAGCGAATCAGGGTCAGAGACATGCCAACAAGGACTCACTTGTCACATCGCCATCGGATGATGAAGACAACGAATTTTACGATGCACAAGAAGGAGCTTCCATTGCCTCAAACGAAGACAATTCGTTTATTCTTAAAATTCCAGGCCCGAAAACGCAACATTCTAGAAATCTTTCAAATGACGACGACGATCGAAGCTCTTCCGAAGGTGAAGATGGAAAATCGCAACAATTTCTAGTGGTAACTGAGAATAATGAAGTAAATTCATCTTCTGATGTTGTCGATCGAGCTTCTGTTCATTCGAGTAATTCTCTCACACCATTAAATCCATCAAATCGTCCACTCATGAAACGACGAACAAAAATTTCCGATAAGCCAAATCACCCTTTAAATTTGTGGAGTATCATAAAGAATTGCATTGGAAAAGATTTGTCAAAGATTCCAATGCCAGTTAATTTTAATGAGCCGCTTTCCATGCTTCAACGTTTAACAGAAGATTTTGAGTATGCTGACTTATTAGATAAAGCAGCGCAATGCAATACAACGTGTGAACAATTAGCATATGTTGCAGCTTTTACAATTTCAAGTTACAGCACGACAGCCAATCGAACTGGTAAGCCTTTTAATCCATTATTGGGTGAAACTTATGAATGCGATCGCACCGATGATTTGGGATGGCGTTGTCTAAGTGAACAAGTTTCACATCACCCGCCAATGGCTGCACAATTTTGTGAAGGTCGTGGATGGAGATCATGGCAGGAATTCACAATGACATCGAAATTTCGTGGAAAATATATTCAAGTTGTTCCTTTAGGTAATGCACACGTTGAGTTCACTAAAACTGGTAATAAATTTTCTTGGCGTAAAGTGACGACAACTGTTCACAATATTATTGTTGGAAAGTTGTGGGTGGATAATCACGGCGACATGGAAATAGTTGGTGAACAATCAGCTCGTGGCTTTAAGTGCCACCTTAAATATCTTCCTTATTCGTATTTTACAAGAGACACGCAGCGAAGAATCAAAGGTGTTGTAATGGATCCTCAAAAGCAAGTAAAATGGGTTTTGAATGGAACATGGGATAATAGAATGGAAGTTGCGCCTGTTACATCAACTTCTGGTTCGCCTGAGAATCCAGTCTATAAGACCGGAAATTATAAGACTGTCTGGCAAAGGCGACTTCCACCTCCAGATTGTGATAAATATTACAACTTTACAATTTTTGCTTGCCAATTAAATGAAGAAGAGTCTGGTGTCGCTCCTACTGATTCACGTTTGAGACCAGATCAAAGATTAATGGAAAATGCACAATGGGATGAAAGCAATACACAAAAACTTCGGTAAGATTTAAAGTTATAGTCTATCTAGAACTGGGAAATTTTAATGTTTCTTTTTTTATTCTAGATTGGAAGAACAACAACGACAGCGACGACGTCAACGTGAAGCTGAAGCAGAAAAAGCAACTTCTGAAGGCCGTCCGTATCCGCCATATGAGCCCGTCTGGTTCAATAAGGAAAAGGAAGAAGGTACCGATAACGTAATTCACGTTTATCGAGGCGATTATTGGGATTGTAAGGGAAAGCAGGATTGGAGTAAATGTCCTCAAATATTCTAAACGAAATAATTATCATTGAAGTTGTTAATTTATATAAAAGTGGTATAGTATCGGTCGTTTTGAAGAATTTTCCCTTGGCATATATTTTGATATTCAATTGCGTGCATTGCACGCTTTTATTTGCTTACGTATGTCTATGTCTTACCTTTCTTCCTTTTTGACACACAATGAATCTGAAAAGATTGCTTTTTATGAAAATCTTCCTCATAAATTATGAGGTTTCATATGTATTTGCTGAATTATCTGTATCTATAATTATTACAATAACAAGGATAATGATAAAATCACTTAAAATAAAAATTAACAAATAAAATTAACGGATATTTAAAATTTGAAAATCGGTTCTTTAACTTTCAGAAACGGTTCAATTTTTTTTTTTCGTTTTATTGAAGTTCAAGTGTTGATCAACGTATTTTCAAACTTTTTGTAAAATTCCAAATATTTATTGAGAACATTAAATTGTTGCTCTTGGTTAAAACACAAATATAACAAAGGTATCATAATAAATTTGAAATTCTTCTAAAAAATAATATTAATGATGACTACTTGTTTGTAGGAGGATATTTAAGGAATTGCTCAAAATGAATCGTTCACAAATTGTTTACAGTCCCGAGGATATTGAAACATTAATTATGCCAGTTCCACCTCAATTTAAGAATCAAGTTATGATAACAACCTTTGAGATGATGAAACATGAGGCTTACAATAATGAAAGGTATTTTAGAGTTAATTATCATTTTCTTATTTTTATACGAGCTTTTGTCGCTTTTCAGTTACAATTGGTCCAAAGATGATTTTGAATTGGGTACAGCTCTTGGAAAAGGAAAATTTGGAAGAGTTTACATTGCTCGTGAGAAAAAGACTCAATACCTTGTTGCAATGAAAATTCTGTTCAAGAGTGAATTAACAAAAGGACGAGTTGAGAAACAACTTTTACGAGAGCTTGAGATACAATCAAGATTAAAGTAAGATAAAAAATTCCTCAATATTGAAATGACATTAATTTTTAATAATTTATAGACATCCTAATATTCTTCGACTCTTCACATGGTTTCACGATGATCGAAAAATTTACATCGCTTTGGAACTTGCAAGCGAAGGAGAACTTTATCGTCATTTAAAAAATTCTCCCCATGGCCGTTTTGATGAACATCGATCAGCCAAATACATTTATCAAGTAGCTGATGCTCTTCATTATTGTCATCAAAATGATGTCATTCATCGTGATCTCAAGCCTGAAAACATTTTGTTGACGTCTGATGATAATGTCAAGTTAGCCGACTTTGGATGGAGCGCTCATACAATATCGAATAAGCGAAAGACAATGTGTGGAACACTGGATTACTTGCCACCTGAAATGATTGAAGGGAAAAGTTATGATGGATCAATCGATATGTGGTGTTTAGGTGTCCTTACGTATGAGTTTTTAGTTGGATGTCCACCCTTCGAATCGGAAAACAGTGAAAAAACTTACGAGAAAATTAGAAGAATTGACGTTCGTTATCCTAAATTTATGTCTCAAAGTGCACGCGATCTTATTTCACGACTTTTAAAACGCCAAGGTGCTCGCATTTCAATGCCGGAAGTCATGCGACATCAGTGGATTAAAGAGAACATGAAGAAACCGCAACGTGATCCTTTCCGATTGCAGCAACTTACTACCGACATGTGAACTTTATTTTTTTAAAATCGTTTTATTAAGCTTTTCAAGAATCATATTCAAATACTTTAATGGCTTTCATGTTTCATCATGTAGAAACTGAGATTTAATGTAGTTCTCACGATTGCCATTATAAGGTCAGTGTTAATTTAATTTCTTCTACGTATTCAAAATAAATAAAACTTTGTTTAAAATCTACAATTTTTACTTTAAAATATGTTAGATAATTTGCATAACTTAATTACTCATTTTATTTAATAAGAGACAATTAAAATGTATGTTTATCGGCAAAAAGTTAGCAACCAGCATTGCACTGTGTTCATTCATCCAACTCTTAAGACAACTGCCGTTGTTGACGAAGCATTTCTTAAATTGATATAGTGCTGATAATGAAAAGTTTTATCGTCAACTTGGAATTAAGTTTTATTAAAATTCTTACATATCTTTCAGGTTCCTAATTTATTGAAATTTATTTAGGAATCGATTTCTTTTTTCTTCAATAATAGAAAGTTGAGAATCTCAAATCTATTCAGGAAGTTTCTTCTTTTTATTGCTATTTTTGATATCATGACTTTGACTCATTAAAGTGAATGAAATCTGAAAAAAGAAAATTTAATTTAATTATATTTTTCGATCTTTTATGCTTCTAAGAAACAATAACAGAAATTTGTATTTCTGGTTTTTTGGCCTATGACGTTTTCATTTTTTTTATATTAACACAAGCAACTAACCAGGTGAAAGCTTGTTCAGGGATGCTGACCAAAAGACAAGAAGTCAAAATGCATAATCAAACTGCAATAGAATAAAAATTGATAAATTTCGTTGAGAAATCGAAATTGAAGGAATTTTTATTAAAACTTTTAAAGTACCTACCTATTGAAATGAATTGAGAAAGATTAAAAGAAATCAACGTAACTTTTTCATTTCCCCAGACTTTATTAATATGTATAACTTATTCATTTATCTGCAAATGTATTAAATGGAAAAAAAATCTACACCAACAAGAAATTTGTTGAACACGCAGAAGTTGACTTCAGTCTATCAGTTCCTATCCATTGGTGTTTGCACAAGTTCAAACGATGAGAGAACAAGTCATCAGTAAGTTCTTTTGTTCATTGAACTTTCAAGAAAGTTCTTAAAATTTTATTCAATTTTAATTTTACTTTTGACTCACAAAGTTTTCTCCCTCAATCGGACATTGAAATCACTTGATTTTTATTTAAATTTCATTCAATTTGTATTTTTTCTCTACTTACTCAGGTTTTTTTGTGCTTCTTGTTGTTGTCTCGGCGACACAAACTGAATCTAAAAATGAAACTGTGATAACAGATCCATTTGAAGATGATAATGACTTGAGATTTGCTGCAGATACCTTTTGTCGGGAATTTACACTCGCTAATCCAATGGGAAAAATCGTTCTCCCTTATAAGCCGAATTGTCACTTTTGGTGGCAAGTAAGTGGAGTTTGTCATGTTGTGCTATTTGCAAGGTAATAAAATATAAAAAATTTCATTACAGTGTACTGCTTACGAGCTCAAGAAACACGAATGTCAAGGTCTTGCACATAGAATCAATTTGCACTACGACTTATATTTGGACCGTTGCGAAATGCCTGGCACTGTTAAGTGTAAATATGTGTTCGATGAAGAAGACATCATTATGGAACATATCATGGAATTTTACAAGAAACAGGATACGAAAGAAGAAAAATCTGAATAGATTCTGTCTCATCATCTGATGAGTGATGTGATTTGCATTGTTGTTTTTGAAATATGAAATATGACTTAACGCAATAATAAAAGAACATCATGAAGTGATATATGTACAAGATTGTGGTTTTAATTTATAAAATTTAATTTTTAAACTTGAGACAAAACTGGTAAAGTTTCCCAATAAGACCGACACCCATTTGTCAAATGAATACTGTCTTATTAATCATAATCATACGTCGTACAAAGCAACATCCAACAATTTCTTTAGAATACCAACAATGTAGATTCATATTTGTTTCTTGTAAGTATCTGTTTCAAAGGAAACAAGCTACGTATTTATACTCAAGATTAATCGTCCGAGATCGTGCTCTTGAAAAGCACTCGTTAAAGTTCCGAATCCAATGACAAAACATGCCATGAATAGTTGCATTAAGAAAATATTTTTATACTTAGTTCAACGAGATTTGTTTTTATTTTATCGAGACGTACACTTGTTGGTAAAAAAAACTTTTACTCTCGTACATATATGAAGTCTGCAATCGCATGTGTAGGCTGACTTATTACGCACTTATCTATGTTTTATTCCTCTTTGTGCATGCATACATGTACATGACCTGTTCGCTTGTGAAACTGTAGCATGGAAAACCACGAAGCATAATTCAGTTTAACTGCTTGTAGCTCGACATTTTTTCTTTTCTTTTTTCCATCGCTCAATGTGTTGGGAATAAGATCGGTAAAGCTTCGAAAAGAAAAACAACACACGCCAACAGTTTACCAAACGCAATTTAGTTACAGACGAAAACAGACCGAAAATGAAATTTACTGTGCAAATAGTTTGTGCAATTGGTGAGTTGAATTTAAAAGAAAAGATGAAGTGAGAGTTTAGTTATGTATAATCATTTAAAATTTAAATATTGCATTGTGGTTCCAATTTCTTAAATCTAAATTTTTTACAAATTAAGCACTTGTGATGATTATGGTTGGAGGTGTTATTGGACAAAGACCATCATGCTGGGAGCATATCAGAGATGATCCCGACAACATTGATGAAGTTTACTTCCCCCATGAAAGCAACTGTCAGTATTATTACCAATGCTCAATGCATGGTTTAGTTCGAATGAAGTGTCAGACAGGAATGCATTTCGACCGTGAAAACAATCAATGCGGTCGACCGGATGAAGTTGAATGTTGAGATCTTAAGTGATCGCATTAAAATTATTAACAATTCAACCGAAGAGATCATTTACATAAATATTCATATCTAAAAAATCTCAATTTGTTAGAGTTGCCATTTTATTTTTCATTTTTTTTCTTAATATTCCTAATTCATGGTGTTTCAAATTCTTTTTAATATCTTCTACCATGCCATGACATCATCTAATAAAATTATAATAATAAAAAACTAAAAACATAGTTTAAACTTGTTATTATTGTTGTTGAAATGAAATGATTCGTCTTGTTGATTCCAAGAAGCATTCACCAAGAGATTTTCATCAACTGTGTTTCCCAGCGCTGATAAATTAACAGAGACGCAATGATGAAGGTCGAAGATATGTATCATGAACATATTTGATGGCGCGTGCTTCCAATAGTGATGCTCGCCAATTATTAAGTTAAAATTCATTCAAAGTCTTTTTTCCCACTTCATCAATCAAAAAATTTATTGCTTACACGAACCTGATCAATTCCCAAAATTGTTGAAACGATATACGTAGATATTCAGATATATGTGCTAACCTAATAAGGCTGATATCAGCAAGAACCTGTTATACCAGCCAGTACCTCAATATGGATGTATTATGCACCTTATCTTCTCTCTCTGTCTCTTTTAAAATAAAGAAATAAAACAGACACACTGACATCCATCTTCTTCATTTCCATGTTGCTTATGTTCATAACTCTCGCATTTCAATACTTAATTTGATTTGTAAGTTATCGGACAAACAATGAAGCTGATATTTTCGGTATTTTTAGGTGAGATGAAATGAAGAAGAAAAGTTGAAAAAGATTCGTCAATTCTATAAAATGAAAATTAATTTTTAGTTCTATTGGCATCTGCAACATTTGTTAAATATTCACAAGCAGCGAATGAGCCAGATTGTGTTGGTTTAGCAAACGAGAATCCGTTGAAAATCAACCGATATTATCACCCCCATGATTCGGATTGTAATAAGTACTATCAATGTTCCAGATATGGTCTTGTTGAAATGCAATGTCCAGAAGGCTTGAATTTCGACAGGAATCTTTATATTTGTGGGCGACCTTATGAAGTTAGTTGTTGAAATTAAATGTCGAGAAAAAATAATGAAATAAATTTTAACAACTGTCGAAAAATTTCTCATGCTTTGTTTGCTAATTTTTGTGACCTCTGCATTTTAAATAAAAATTATAAAAACAAAAAACAAATGCAAAATTAAACGAGAAGATAAATCGCAAATAATTTCTCAAGAAAAAAAGAAGAGGAAGTATTTATGAAGATATTTGTCTCATCATTTTATATGTGTGAAGTCTCTCTCACCCGCTTTATATTTAATTTTTTTATTTTGATTTTGCAAGCCAGTCGTCTCATCTTGTTGAATGAAAACGAAAGTGTCGAAGCTAAGATCAACAGTATTAAGAAAGATTTAGAAGAGTAAAGTTCATAACGATGAAGTTCTTAATAATTGCCGTTGGTATGTCTGAATTTTTTCTTGCTACAATTTTTTATCAAGGTCGTCATAATTTCATCTCCATTTTGCAGCATTTCTTGCTATCTTAGTCGTGGTGTCCTCACAACAAGCACCAGATTGTGTCTCGCTTGCTAGACAAGTACCTGAAGATATTTCAAAATATTATTTTCATCATGAAAACGATTGCAATAAGTACTATCAGTGTGCGGAATATGGTTTGGTATTGAAAAATTGTCCAGAAGATCTTCATTTTGATAGAAACTTATACATTTGTGGATGGCCTCATGAAGTCAACTGTTAGTCATGTTATTTAAAAAAGATTTATATCGTCTTTGTTACGACAATAATTTGAATAATTTATTTTGTTTGAAATGAAATAAAGAGTGAAATATCAATCATAAATCAAATGTAAAAAACACCTTATTAAAGTTTTATTACAAAATTCATAGGTGTTGCTACTCAATGCTTGTCATTTGAGCCAAGCAAATGTTCAGTTCGTTGAAACAAATGTTCCGCTTTCTCCTTACGCCATAATCAATTGTAATGGTAATGATACGTAAATTGATACTTTATTGTTCATACATCCAAATGATAGTGTTTTAGAAAATCTCAACCGATTTTTTAAATCAAACCAAAATCAAGTCTTTTTATGTTGTTTAAAAAGTAGCTTTTATGAAGCTTTTTATTCTATAATTTTAGATTTTTCAATTTTCTTTTCTTTTGAAATATTTTTCTTCTTAATTTTCAATTCTTTGATATTCACTTAATTAAATCAAATCACTTTACTACTACTTAGATATTTATTATTACCTTTCGACTTATTCATTTAATAAACTTTAAGCTTATATATAAATGGTTGTTAAGGAGCTTTTTATTGTTGAAGGTATGAATGGATTTATGAAAAGCTCAGATTTAAAAATAACTTTTCATTTTACGTTTTACCTTTTCTTAGTTCGTTCATTAGGAACTTGATGAGAAACTTTTAAAGCTTCTTCAAGTAATCCTTTGATAAAGAAAATTTGGAGCTTTATGAGCTCTTCCTACATTTTTTTTGATGATGACGTCAATGAGTTCGTAAATCACATAAATTATTTATGACATAACATGAAGTGATTCGATAATTAAATAATTAAATGACACTGCTTTTCAATTGTTTGTTTTGTAATGCTCTAATAAACAATATTTATGTACCTAAATGAATCAGAATTTTATGAATGAAAATGTAGACATGTTATTGATATCATTCAATGTATGATATCTATTAGTGAAGTCAATTTGAACTAAAAATTCTACATAGAATTGTATAACAAGTCTTCAACTATGGCCTGACATAATGAAGCCAATTGACGAATTTGAAAATTAGTAAATTGTAGGATAATTAAAGGAAGAGAACCACGAAACTTTAATTCATATTTCTATTCTTCAAAGAACAATTAAAAATTAATGACGCATAAAGTCCCGAATTTCACTTTAAACAATCAACTCTCGAACGTAAACAAATATTTAAGTTTTATTAAAAATTACAATTTATAAAAAATCAAGAGTCACAAATATAAATTGGGATAGGCACATCATAAACATTGTTTTAGTTACCCAACCGTATTAAATTCGAAGCATGACGTTTTAAGTCGTATACGATTCTGTTCATAAATAAATTTGAACTCATTTCATCTTAAAACTTGTAAAATTATTGCAATTGAAATTAAAAAGGATGAAAAATAAATGTCAAAAGGAATTCTAACATTATTGTATTCCTGGCCACAAGCTGGTGGGCAAACCGGACTGTTTGCTTCGTACAAATGAATTACAGCTTCATCACTGCCAAGCTTATTTACAGCTTTGCATTTGTAATCACCGAATTGCTTTTGATCTAGTTTTACAATTCTTAGAGTAGAATCCGTAAACTCATCAGCTGTTCCAAAGTTGGAAACTTTATATTTCCTGCTATTAGAAATAAGAAATTCGTCTTTCACCCATATAATTTGTGGTGGTGGATACGCTTCAACATGGCACTGCAGATCTATATCATAACGAAGGGCTTGGCCTAACTTTGGTTGTGGAACGGTGATCACTGGAGAAAATTCAATTTCCAAATTTATATTGCGTCGGTCGCCACGGCCAACTCCATTCTCAGCAATACAATAATATGTGCCTCGATCTTCCTTTGTGATTGAATTGAACTTCATGACATTACCATTGTAAATATTTCCGCCTAAAATGTAAATAAAAAAATAATCGATTTAAAAAAAATATGCAACATAAATACAGTTTAGAAGTCGCAATTGACATACGTAATATGCATGAAATTATTTCATTTAAACAGTTTGAGCGCATTTTTATAGCTTCTTCAAACTGGCGAATCTATAACGTTGATTGTTGACTAATTGTTGATTATTATATAGACATGCGAAGTTTTCTCGGGTCAATGATTATGACGAGGTTTTCGTTATATTTTTCTTTCAGAAGTTTCACCGGTTAATTTATCTACCGAGTTAATTGTTGATCCCAGGAATTTAATTAACAGCGTTTTCGAGAGCACAAGTGTCAGTGAAGCGTGTTTCAATCATTTTTGTAAAACACTGCTTAGGTATTTACAACGTATGATTAAAATGAAACAAAGTTGTCTCAACGCTTGAAAATGCAACTATTTAAGCAAACGTACTATTAACATCAACTGCATGTAGGTGTATATGCAATTTGTGTACCTCAAAATGTGCTTGCTTAGAAACTAGATGCTGAATTTTTAATTAATTATTTTTTATTAACCAATGAATGCAATAAATGCAGATAAATTCAAGTGGCAATAAAAGCCCTGCATATATTTACAAGTTTTTAAATTAAGTTTTTATGTGAATATGCATAAGTTCAACTGAGCTCAAGATCTTCAACAGTGAGCGTAAAATTTGTAATTATATGTAAACAAAATATAAATATGTACATCTAACTGTGAGAATCAATTAGAAATAGCAGCCGGTTGTATTTATGTTTTTGCGTGTTTATATACAAAGAAAGAATGACGCTTTTAAATTCGCAATGTTTAATCAATAAGTTACATTTTACGCTAAATATCACATTGACTACCATTCGTGATTCGTCATACTTGAGTTTGCAAAATAAAGTTAATTTGTTGTGATAACATGCTTTAAGTAACATTGTTTATACACATGTGCTGTGCAGCAATATGAAAATACCAAGTTTTCAATCAGTAACCTTATTTAACACCGGTGAATGGAAGAAACGAGAAGATGAGATAAAAACAACTGTCGCTTAAATATTGCTTTTTAATAACACAACTTCATAAATTCATAGATATAATTATATCTGAAACTATGGTCGCCGTCGAATTGCTTACGAAATGGCAACTCACCACCCTTGGAAAATATTATATAAAATCACGAATGAATAAAAGACTTTGAAGTGACTATTATAAAGTCCTAATATAATAAATAATATAGCTAATGTTTTTATCTGTCTGAAAGATCCAAACATAATGAAAAGAATATTTTTAAAATTATATATTTACATATATCTTGCTTTAACAGTTCTAAGAGATAACATAAAGAATTATTACTCAATATTTCACTAACCAAATAAAAAAAAATACGCGAGACACGAGAATCTTCTACATAGTAGGATTAATCTATTGGATGCTTTATCAATCTCTTAATGAACCAGACGACTTTTTGACACTACTTCTTTTTTCTTAAATAGATATTTCTCTGTTTTGAATTCAAAATTTAATTATTGTCATAGTGTTTTAACAAGAATCAATTAAGACTCGTTTAGGTACATATTTATTTTGTATAAAGATGATCGTAAGTTTCATTCAGTGATGTGATGTAAGAGAGAGTGTAAATGATTCTTTAAGTATGAATAAGTAAATACCTATTTCATTTATAAGAAATCATATTCGAATCCACTTCTAAAGTTCATGGGTACGAAAGGTGCACTCTCAATCTTTACTTATTATTTGTTAGGACAAGTCCCTAGCAATTGTTTATTCTTAAGTTAAGACTCATTTGAAAACTATTTCCAAAATTATTTAAACAATTGTATAAACAATTCTAAACTTCAGGAAAGGCCCAAAATTGAATTCAATTGTTGTTGACATACTCAAAAATAATTTCATTTTTTTTCTCCATTAAATACACGTCAAAACAGAAACAGATAAAAAAAGCGTTTCGGCTTTTGTCAGCGAAAATCGAGATCGAAATAATGCCAAAAATAAATTCCAAAATGACAACTTCAATACGATGATTGACCTCATAACTAGTTAACTTGAACTCACCAGAAGGCAATAAGGCATTATTATCTCGCCTCCAAATTATCTTCGGCTGAGGAAAACCAGTCGCATAGCATTCCATGATAACTGACTCTCCCTCGGTTGTAACAATGGATTGAGTGGAATTATGAGTAATGATTGGAGCTTTTTTCACGTAAAGATGTGTTGCTTGAGATATTTTATTATTAACTGAGAGAACAATTTCACATAAGTAAGTTCCAGCATCTCCTTCTTGCACATCTCTAATAAGAACTGTGTAAGTGGCTGAGGCGCCATCATAAAGCAAAGCAAGGCGAGAATCTTTAATCACTCGAGATGTTCCAGTTGACAAGAAAACTTGATCGTCACGATTATCACTAACTTTGGACCAAATCACGGAAAATTCAGTTCCGTATGTCACTGAACATGCTAACTCAGCAGTTCTTCCAACTTCAACTTCTTGATCACCCGAAATATATGTAATTGAAGGAAACCGTTGTGCGTTACATAGCGAAACTGTCGCTATAAGTAAAATACAACCTGCACGCAGGCAAGTCATTTTCAAACTGAACAAATACAAAATGTATATCAAGAGAATTATGTGTTGTTTTCAGGGGAAAAATTCGTATGTGATGCCGTGTACAGTTTCCCATATGTACATATAAAGAACGTATCGAAGTAATAGCAAATTAAATGAAAAGTTAAATGCAATTTCTTATGATCTAAATATCTTTCGCTTATTTACCTAATCGTACAAGAATTCTAATAGTAGACATAAATCATTTCTAATAAAAAGTTCTATAAACAACCTTGAAACTATTTTCGTCTCGGCAAAATATCTTATAAAAAAGAGAGTATCAAGGGACATACGAAACGCTTAAACCTAGTAAGAACAAAAATGAACGCACACTTTTTAAAGCTTTTTATCAATAGAAAAACCGATACTTTTAATAAAGCGTTGCCCTAGTGATACTATTTATACTTCACTTTCAATGACTAACACTTAAATTCTTAAACATGTGTCATTTTGCTTTCTGTTTTAATTGCAATGAAGTTCATCAATTAATATATATGTATGTATACAACATGATTAGTTATGTAGTTTAGAAAAATGTCAAAGTCGGGTTAATTCGTTTATTTAAACTAGTTGGTACGCATATTTCTTTCCACAAAACATTTATCAATAAGCATTTAAATTTCAAACACAACACATCAATTTGTAAAAACATCAAGTAACGTTTAAAAAAACAAGATACAATCTTATTGTTCACACACATGTTATGTTTAGAGTGCAACCAGTTGGAAAGCAAAATCAAAAGATTTAATTGATTAATTTCAGTTATTTTGATACGCTTAATGTTTATGTGCTGCATCGTGTTTAGAATAATAAGATGATATTAATATATGATATGACAATAAAATACAATGATGTATTGTCAAAAAAATAATCAAAGTAGATCACCACACTATCAAACGCCTGTAAACATTTGATTTAATAAAAAACTAAGGAAATTTTTGAGCAAAATTGAGCAATGTGAATAAACTCTTTTTTACTTTCAAAAGACCATGTAATAAAATATTTTTAAAAAGACATTGAGTTCGATTTCTAATAAGTTGTAATCATATGTTGATGCCTTCATTACAAACTGACCCTTCAGGTTTTTTTAATAAGGTACGAACAAGAACTAAAATAAAAGAGAGATTGGCAGTTATCTTCAATCTTTACTTTGTACATCATAAAATGTAACAAATTTCAATGGGATAAAAACATTGTAAAAGTAACAAAAGGTTTTACAATTTTCTTCAATTATTATCGTTTTTAGATTTTTCAGATTTCAACACTGAAGTATGTATTTATGGTAATATTTATTTAACAGTGCGAATGAACTTTTCAGTTTTAGCACAAAATTCACACAAGTGTTCATAAAGACGAGTAAAATGATAATCAAGATTCACGTGAGAATGAACTTTTGAGGTCTGTGCCAGACATAAAATATATTTGTTGAGCGACATAAAATATGTATAATCATGAAGCTTTTATTTTGAAAGCTTTTCCATGAAAGCTTAAAATATTTGAATTTTTCCGTTAAAAGCTTTTTTGTTAATATCGTAAACTTATCTCGACACTGTTTTCAAAATCAAACTTGCAGCATATTTTAAGCTTTTTATAAATGAATCATGTAAATTGATTTGAAAAGCTTAAACAATTTTTCAACGAGTTCTATCATACACATTGCTGATCATTGCTGAATGTAAATTATTTAATCTTAATTTTCGCTTCTTTCTCATGGAAATGCCTATGGAATTGGCCACGAAAAATCATCATACAACAAACTTAAATCTTTCACACGGAGGTGCTTCTCGGGTTCATCATTAAATTGTTTATTTGCCAAGTCATGCAAAATTTTGAAATGAAGATTCCCTGATTTATAAGCAAAATAAGAAATACTTAGTACTAAAACTGCGATTTAGAATTGCGATGGATTACTTAACTTGTCATAAGCCTGTCATTAGTAAATTATAAAATCTTTCAGAGTAGATACAAAAAAATGTTGTCTTGAAAGCCATTAATTAAATTTGCTTTACATTAGAGTAATTTTGAGATATTGCGAATTAACGCGTAGCAACAGAAACAGAAGAATTTTATTTTCTTTTAATAATGAAACTAAAAATTTTGTTGAGAAATATTATTCCCAAAACATTGAATTAAGGTAAAATACAAATGATCAACCACCGAGCCAAAGACATATCTTCAACATGTTGTCTTACAAAATATTTCATATTCTTGACAGTGAGATTAATGGTTTTTGGCGAAACTCATAATGAAAGACTCAAAACTATTTGTATCGCACTCTTTCTTTCATGAAATCATCTACGGAGTTCGCTGATGATGTTACTACATACGAAAACCTTTTCATTATTGAAAGTAAGAATACAGAAAATATATTCTGTAAATTTTTAATTTAATTTGATTATTCAGACAAAACACTCTTCACTGGTTATTTAAACACTTTGAAGATTGAACAATGACGATGTAAAAAAATGAATTACGAATTATGACATTCATTCCTTGAAGTTGGGAGTATCAAACAGGTTCATCACTTATATTTCTTCAACATCCATTATTCAAAAGCATTATTAATATGTACATGACTTTCAAATGACTCTTTAATGATCATTTACAGATTGATTTAGCTTGGCTTTAGGACAAGACCCTCAACAATTACTTATTCATCGCAATGAACCCACTCCAAATTTATTTCGGATGAGAGTGTTCATACAATTGTACGAAATATAAACAACAACAATTTGGCGGTTCAGGGAAGACCCAAATTTGAATTTAATTATTTGAATTGTTGAGACTTTTTTCTCGTCACTTTTGGTGAGCATCATTACGATCAAAATTAAAAATATATTAAATTGCTTTCACAAAGCGCAAAATATTATTTTTGTGGTATTTGTATGATGGTTTTTTTGTGGCATATTCACTTTGGAAATTAGTTAACTTACCAGTTGGTAGCAAAGCACTGTTTTCTCTTCTCCAAACAATTTTTGGCGTAGGAAATCCTGTGGCATAACATTCCATTGTTACTGATTCACCTTCTACTGTGACAATTGATTGACTTGAATTATCACTTATCACAGGAGGATCATTCACAAAAATATTTGTGTCTGCTGTAATTTTATTATGTATTGAAAGAATAACTTGACACTGGTAAGTTCCAGCATCTATTGGCTGAACGTCTCTTATAAACACTGTATATGTATTAAAATCAGGATCGGCAAGGAATGAAAATCGAACGTCTTTTATCACTAAAGAACTACCAACGGAAAGAAACATTTGTTCATTTTTATCTTCACTCATTTTTACCCAAATCACAGAATAATTCTCTAAAAATGATACAGAGCAAGTCAACTCAACTGCACCACCAACACCGACCTCTTGATCTTCCGATATTTCAGCAATAAAAGGAGCCCTTTGAGCGAAACATAGCGAAGCCGTTGCAATGAATAACACACAACCTGCTTGAAAGGAATTCATTTTCAAACTGAGTAAATATAAAATTGTTTCCAAAGAAAATCGCCACGTTAGAGTCGGGGAGTTGTTCAACAGGTGATGCTGCTTTACTTTTCCATTAAGCTTCAAAGGTGAAACACATTATACCTAATTTAAAGGCAACAGAATATTTAAAATAAATATATTTGATATCACATTAATTACAGATCAATTCAAAGCAATTCTAATTAAAATTACTTGTAAAATTATGTAACATATAAATAATTGAAATTAAACATTTTTTTGAATATTTTTCCTCGCTAAGTAAGCTTCAATTATAAGTTACTAATTTTTTTATATCTTAGATATGCCTAAGATTTCATGTACAGCAACGGCAATCACGCATTCGTTATTATGTACAAGTACAAACATATATCAAGCAGGATACTTATGCTTTAAAAAATATTTGCTATGTGATGTGTTGCTGATTTTTTTACGCTGAACTATCTATGTATAAGTTCGTCTATTGTGTTTAAATATTTCGTTGTAAATATGTCTGAGATGGTCAATTATATTTCATACAAGCTTTGAAAATTACCTACGCGGTCTTGAAGTTCTTTTTTTTAAACACTCTGCAAGATATATTTGGGAGTGCGAGTTAACGATCAAGTTCATTTGTAAATGAAGTAAAAAATCAATAACGCATAAGAGTCGTGAAAGACTTATGATTGATGTTTGTTGTTTGTAACTTGCGTATTACATAAGATGAAAGCGATCGAACATTTCCCATTTCAAATATCAATTGGAAATACAAATTAAATGTCAAATTCATTAATCTAAATAAGTAGATAAATAAGTTGTTTCATATTTTTCTTCATAAGCAGACATAGGAATTTCATTTCCATATTCAAGTTTGATTGATCCAGGTGTTGAATACTGTATGAAATAAAATAAACAACATTTTTATGTTTCTCTTTAGAGATGTGTTTATTCACATTTTCATTATAAATAGAAAATCCACACTGGTTGAAATGTCCATGCCTGTCGATAATTTATGCAGAGTAAAGATTTTCCGATGAAAATTAATTCTTAGAATCACCAAAACATTTGCATTCACAATTTAGATACTGATTTAGATCATAAAATATCATTAAACATACAAACATAAAGCGTCTCAAATAAAACTCTAGTTAATAGTCATTAGCATTCTAATTACTTTTTAAAATGAGACAACTTTATTAAATGCATATCTTACCCACATTGTGGATAATTATTGCACTGTTTGCGACAGCAATTTTTTTATGTTTCCAACTGAAATGAAAAGATGTAGGAATTTAGACATTCAGTTATCTATCAATAATACATAAAATTAAAATGGTATTGAAAGCAAGTTTATATTCATAACACCTTCTTTCTCCCATATTCATGATGATGATCAATAAAAAAACCAGAACATTTTCAGCTAATACTTGTCCTTCAATTGGATTTTTTTTTTTATTTATTTAATTTTTTTGTGTTGCAAAAAATTTGACAAACTTTCACTAGTTATTATATTTTCTTTTTCTCCTTATGCAGTGATAAAAAACTATAATTTCTTTTATCGAACTTGGTATCGATGTTTTTTTAAAGAAATTCTCTTTATCATTAACTTATTGCCTATCGTATGATCCACTGTTCATTTCATTAATATCTATTAACATTAATCGACGATTAACAATAATATATTTAAGTGTACGCGATGTTGCATTCCTTTGCAGTGATGATGAAGTTTTTTCCTTATGAAAAAGTGGTACAATTTTCAAGTGGTCAATCAGAATCGCTTAAAACTGCTTTTTTACGTCGCTTTGCTGGTTGTTTTGTATTTTTACTACGATCCTCCTAAATATTCATGAAAATCAATAACATTTCTAATCATTTATAGCTCAACTTACATCAGATGATTCTTCGCTGGAATATTTGTTATTGGCTTCATTTGCTTTCTTGTTCGGCGTGCTATTTGAGTTTGTTTCTTTTTTAGTGGGTGGTTTTCGTCCACCCCGACTACTTGTTCCCCTTCGACTAACGGTTGTTTCATCTTCAACCGCAAGTGAGAAAAGCTCATTGAATTGTTTCTGTATAATTAAGAAAGAATTAATGAGCACGACATATATTTTAATTTTTCTTTTTTTTTACTTTTTGTCCTTCTGTGCTATGTGTGAATGCTTGTTGAAGTGCTCGTTGCATTTTTTCATGAAGATATAAGGCTGTTCCCGCACTATGACCATACCGACAAGATCTCCGAAGATGTTCTAGATGGCTTAAGAGCTGTTGAGTTTGAATCGTTAAATATCCATCATTAAAATAAAAACTTGTCAAAAGAATTTCTTACTTGTTCTGCTGATGGAGCTCCATTTGACTGATTGTTACTTTTGAGGGTTCGTTTTCGTTTTGTAGGTGAACTTTGTGGATATTTAGATATTAAAAGATTTGCTATGATCTCAGATAATTGCTCTTCAAACTCAACGCACCAATGTCTATAGACGTAATCAAATTTATATTTTATTTAATATTTAAAACAAATAAAGACTCACCTGAATGTAGAAGTCACAAAAGGGTCGCCTCTATCACTCTTCGACATTTCACGACTTAATAAAAGCTTTACAAGTTCTTCTGACGGTTCCTCTTTCTTTAACATTGACAAAATACTTGTTAATGCTTCATGATTTGTTGCTTCAAGTTCAGGTAAAATATCCTTTGGAAAAAGAAGAAATTATTTGATAATTCAATCGTTTGAAACTTATTAATTAAATACTCACTTGAATATAAGAAAGAGGCACATCGTGAGCAGTAAGAAGTTGCCATAAACACATTTGTTCAAGCGTTTCATACTCCAAACTCTCACGAATTACATCAATGACTCCTTCATTCTTAAACATACAAAGCTTTCCTTGTGTAACATCATAAATGAGATCAGCCAAATTTCTTGCATCAATACATCGAACGACAATTCTCAACACTTCGCTGTTGTTTACGACGTGATTGTCAAATTCTCTGTAGATATCAGGTATAAGCCAAAGGAACATATTAAGACTGTATTGTTCCATCAATCCTAAGTCTCGCTCTAGACACGCATCGATCTTTTGATTTGTTTCTTTCGATTTTTGATTGATCCATTGATAAAACAATTTGTAAACATTCGATCGAAATACGACGGGAGCTTTCTCATTTTTCTTCGATGCAAGCTTCGAATGTACTTTGAGGTAGTAGAGTAGAAGGAAGCCCATGTTCGGTGATCGTGAGTAACAATATTCCAAGAGCTTTGACATAACTGCACATTTCTTTCCTTTCTCTTCCTGTTGATAAAGAACTTTGAAGAATCCATAAAGGGGAAAGTTGATTGATTGCTCGAGCTTTTGTAAATTCTTAAACTCTTCGAGATCACATTTTTCAGGTAGCGTCGATTTGCAGATATTTAACACATTATCGAACACATAACTTTCTTGTTCAGTGTCGAGTTGAACTCCTGAACCGACACGAAAATCACTCAAAAATGAGTCAAAATCGTTGAGAGTCTTAGAAGTGATGAATTTATCAAATGACTCACGAATCGAATTAGGCAAGTCAACTTTATCTGGTGCAGGCTTTTCTTTAAGACGTACTTTCGACAACGGCAAATCGTCATCGTCTTCATCATCTTCATCACTCGAATTCTCAACTTTTACTTTCTTTTCATCGATCTCGTCATCGCTAAATTGTGGATCTGTTTCTTCCTTTAAATCTATTGTATTTGACTTTCCAAATCGTCCCTCATCAATATGATTTTGATTTTCAATTGTTGATGCTGTGAAAGGCGGAGTAGTTGGCATGAACTCCCGAAAATTTTCACGTATTGCTGATCTCAGATCACGTTCTAATTTTGGAGATTCAAACAATGGACCAAGATTGGGTATCACTTGCTTTTCGAGAATAACACGAAGTGAATTATAAACACCAGAACGAATTCGTTCCTCGCCTTTCGGATAAAAGTTCTTCATGATGCGACAAAGAAAGTCTAACAAAGTGCTGCTTACTAACGGGACATTTTTAATTGAATGATACATAACAAGAATTCCCGGCTCGACATTCATTATGTTGTCACGAAGTGGATCAAAGCACAGCCAATCGTAGAAAATTGCCAATTTTGCATTGGTTAAAGCCACTGGATTTGTGCACGATGTTAAAAGCCATCCAATGATTGCCCATCGAGGTGTTATGTCCGAGCAAAGAAGTTCATTTGTGGGATGAATGGCGTTGATTATGTATCGAATGACATCGGATCGAAGACTTTGGGATTCAGGTGTTGAAAAATATCGATCTTGAAACCAATCTTGATATCTTTTATGATTTCCAAACTTCACACTGCTCGTAAAAAAATGCAATTTGTTTTCTATGTCAGGCGTTATTCGATTTCCGATAAACTGTCTGCTGGTTCTTAGAGAAAGCATTTGAAATATTCCTGTAAATGTTGGTGAAAGAGATTTCGGATTTGTCAGAATATCTTTCCAAAGCTGTTGAAATTCTGGTATTCGAGCAACATTCTGTAGAAGACGTACAAAGTCACGTCCTAATGGGATGATCTCTTGAAATCGTTCTCGTATGAGACTCATAATGAATTTAACTTCTTTATTCCTTAGAGGAATTAAATGAGGAGCATTATGATCTTCAATGAGTCTAGAATGAATGAAAAAGTTAAAAATGTTTTATTTATTTAACAAATTGATTAAACTCACCTCACGTATGCGTAAGCGACAAGTCCAACACTTCCTGCAAACTTCTCAAAACGAGAACGTTGTTCAATTAGAATATCGAGAATTCCTTCTATCCATGCTATGTTCTTCGGTGATACATCACCACCTTGTGCCTGCCGTAGAAGAGCCCACAGTAAACCATTGATTTTTAAATTTGATCCGAGTGATTTTAACAACTCTTTGAACAACCATAGAAGCTGATGTTTAGCAATTTCGGCTAACTTTTGAAACTTTACATTGATCACTTCTATTAAATGGCTAATGACAAACTCTAATCCATCTCGAGTCACTATGAGGAGGTCTCGAAGTGTTGCAGCTGCCAATTGAGTGTCTGTGAGCATAAGATAAATGAAACCAATTTGATATTCCTCCTGCTGTTTTGTATCAAGCGAAACCATTGATGTGATGACTGTATTGAGTTCTTTAGCGTTTGGTCCATATATGGAGCCCTGAAGATTCTGAAAGGCTCGGTCATATTTCTGGAGATGAAATTAAAATTTAACTGGTAAATTTCAAAACATTCAAGAAAAAAAAAACATGGAGACAATCCTAAAGAAAACTTTAGGAAAAGATTAAAAATTACTTATACCTCTTCGAATTTATCACGTTGATCGATAGGAGACGATGTAAACAACTTTGATGCTTGTAGTTTGGCAAGTTCCATCGATGTCTAGTCCCTATTTCTGAAAATATTTTTCTAATTTCTTTACGATATCCGAAATGAAAAATTCTTAATGAGTACAAGTAGTCTTTAATAAACTGTCCCTTATGTTATTCCATGGAATCTTCATATAAAGGAGCTTTAAAAATTAGACAAATTTATGTTTAACAGATTGAAACTACTGATCACAATTCTAAACTTATTGTAGAATCAATATTCCTAAAAAAATTTACAAAAAACTACAATGAAGTCCGGATTACTTGTTTCTTCCTTGCTATCGAAGAAAAAATTCGAATTATAATTTTTCTCTTGAAAGGGCTTATCTTGTTATATGTAATCCGGACAAAGAAAAAAATTTAAATTTATTTTGTTCGTTTTTTTTCTTGTAATTATTTTTATTCATTTATCTCAGATTTATCTTAAGTCTTTCAATAAAACTCTCCCATTATACTTATACGTTGCAAATATGGTTGTGACTTACATGTCATGAGATCATATCTTTTCTCCCATGACGAATTGCGAGGAAATTGATTTTCTTTAATTTTCTTCATCAACATCTGTGGGTCAAAGTTCTTTGGCTTTTTTGCAGTTGTTTTAAGAATTGCTTGGACAAAATCTGTTAAAATACTGTTGTTTGTATCAGCAGACTTAACAGCCGTTTCTCCATCAATTTTGCTTACAGGTTTTCGATTCGTAAGATTTTCCTTATCATCATCTGAATTCATCTCTTGCTCTTCCTCTTCCGATACTTTTTTATGTGAATTTATTTCATCGGAATCAACAACAGTTGATGAAGCAAGTTTGACAACATCAAGTGATTCTGTACCGATTGCACTTCCCTGTGGAGGTGGCTCTGAAGAACTGTCAAGATCGCCTTTAACTATCTCTTGTTCGCTTCTTTTTTGTGGTATTTTCAAAGATTCAGAAATGTCCTTGTTGAAGTTAAAAGATGTCTTTTTATCACGATTAGACAATTCAAGAAATTTCTTTTGCAACTCTGCATTTTCTTCAATTTTCTTTTTTGCATTAGACAATGCACTCATAATTTCGTCAACTAATGCTTTCTTAAAATCATTAGAAGAATGTTGCTGCTCTTCTGAGTTTTTCATGTTCAATAAAGTTTCTTCATTAAATGAAAAATCTTTATCAGTTGCGAATGTTATATCACCTAAAAACTTTTTTCTATTAAATCCTTTCACAAGTGATTCTCGTGGTAAATCATAGCAGCATTTCAGTGCACCAACATCGATAGGATGGGCTTCAGTGTTAAATATATAAGACGATTCGATAATGCATTCACCATTATGAGTTTCAAGAACTGTGCCATAGCCACCATCACTATTAAGGAAATTATCAGGGTCGAAGAGCAGATAAAGATATTTTGTAGTTTCTGCTAAGAAAAATGATTCCATTGTGTCTTGTTTTCTATGATCTTTGACATTTTTTATAGTCGCATATCCACATTTTGTTTTGGCACTGTACTGAATTGATTTGAGAATGTCTTCACCTACTTCGAGTAAATAAGGATCACCTGTCGCTCTGTACAAATACATCACAGATTCAATAAGTTCTGGCCGCAAGGGATAAGAATCTCTATTAACGCCAGCTTCTGCATTGGGAATGTTATAAAATTCAGGAAGAAATCCATATTGCTTCCAAACGGTGTGCATGTTATGAAGTGATTTCATTGCTGAATTTATATCACCTAGAAGGCTGAGTAGACCTGGCCAGAAAGCTTGAAGGGATTGAAAGACAGGTAAAGTAATTTGACCTTTACTCATAGATGCCCAAATATGCCAGTCATCACGTTTTAAATATTTATCGATAGCGGCTCGTCCTTCATCGAACATATGCAGTAACTCAGGACGATTTAACATTATTGCACCCTTCACTAAATATTCATAATAGCTATCAACTCCAGCTCCAATTCCAGCATCTTGTGCCGTCCAAGTTCCTGTCTGTACATCGATGTGATTTCCAAGAAGGCCAATTGTTGATCGGTGATTGTAAAGAGAATATAAAGCATTTAATGCTACTTCTTCATAGATTGGATCACCAATCAATCGTGATAAAGCACCGAATTCGACAATGAATGTTCCTATTCCTGCTGTACATGTGACTGATGTTTCACCTTCAGGAACTCCATACTTTAAATTAACTGTTCCATAGGGCATTCCAGTTTTTGTATCAAAAGCTGGAAGCAGTTTTCGGGCCACTTTTTCAGCTAAACTAAGTAAAGGCCCATTACAAGGATATCCTGGATCTAATTCAATTCCTGCTTTGTGAGATAAAAGATGAGCTGATAATAATCCACCTACAATTCTTATGTTTGTTTCAAACACCGACACATTGATGTCTTTATCAAAATTGACTTTTGTTGTAAGATGATCAACAACTCTTCTGAATTCAGAAAAATTTCCCATTACAGCAAGTGTATCTAAAGCATCGATAAGTGTGAGAGATGAACTAGACCATGTATTGACTCCGGAACAGGATAAGGGTCGAAGTTCATCGTATCCATTAGCATATTTCAAATAACCATCGTATGCATGATAAAAAATTGAGGTAACTTCAGAACTGTAAACAATCAAGAAAATATAAGGATTTTAAGATTTCATGCTTATTATGATACAAAACGTACCGTAAACGAGCTATGTCACTTTTAGTATACTGTCGCAAGGCAAATGAAAGTTTGAAGCATAATAAAAACACCCATACCTTAATTTTACCATTAAATTGCATTTTCTTAAATATTATTATATGAATGCTTTTGAAACGAAGTTTTTTGTTGAACAACATCAAAGTTGTTGAACATACCCTCAAAATTTCAAATATTTTCACAACGTAATCGACGAGTGAAAAATTCACTTATCAAATTCTGTTAAATAATGTAACCTCACTGTGTTAGATACATGACTTGAACATTTTGTAAGTAATATTTAATTTGAATATTCTTAAATTATCTATGGTAAATTAAATAATGTTATTTATTGTCTATTTTCCAGAAAGCCATCTAATAAAAAAATAACCTCAAAATGAGCGAATCACTTTTTTCCGAAATTATTGCATATCACGAAAAAAAAGACAACAAACTGTTTGTTACTTCTAATTCGGAATACCTTATCAACTCTCATGATTGTTTCATACAAGAAGGAAATTTTGGAGTTTGCATACGAGGTTTAGAAAGAAAACTGGGGACGAAGAAGAGAACTTGGACGCAAACTGAAGTTGGTGTTAAAATAATTAAAGTTCGAGACGAGCCAAATTTAAGTCATGAGTACGAAATCATAAAGAAATGCCAAGGACATCCAAATATTGTTGATGTGAAAGACTACTTTAAAAACGAAAAATTTGAGTATCTTGTCATGGAATATTTGGAGGGCGGCGACTTATTTGAATTTATTAATCGTCAAAAGTGCTACTTGGAAGAACAAGCAGTGAAATTATATTTCCGTCAAATTCTAGAAGGTGTGAAATTCATTCATTCCAAAGATATTTTGCATAACGATTTGAAAGCAGAAAATGTTGGTTTTAAAAATGGCCAATTGAAAATTATTGACTTTGGATCTGCAACCAGTCAAGAAGAAATACTAAACAACTTTACTTTGCCATATGCTTCTCCAGAAATTTTAAAAGGAAAAAAGTGCAGTGTACTTTCTGATGTATGGTCTTTAGGTGTTTTACTATGCTTTATGTTATATGGAGAACTTCCCTTTGGTATACCTGAAGACAACGAAGAAGAAGAAAGACATAAAATTTCTACACTAATCAAGACGGGAAAAATGTTAGTGAAGTTAGATTCTGAAAATATATCATCAGAGGCAAATTCTTTAATGAAGAAAATGCTTTGTAATACTTTGTCGAAACGTTTATCAATCAATGAGATATTTAATCACACCTGGATGCACCAAGATCAAAGCAAAATAAAAGAAAACATTGCAGTTCCTTCTAGTAATATCATTTCTGAAAAACGTACTCGACGACCACCAAACAGACTTCGTGAAACTCCAGAATTTCAATCCATTTTCAAAAAACCTACTCAAAAAAAACCACGGAAAAATTAAACTCAGATTCTTAGAAAAATTAATGAAGATTCAAAAGAAAATCCACTTAATCTGCTTTTTGTTGCTATTTTTAATCTTACTTTTAAAATAATAAAATGAAGTCTGTGATCATTCATTTCCAGTATTTATCAGTTTTTTTTTTGCTTAGCATTTTTAAAAATAATTTCAAAATTTGATGCATCAAAAAACGAAATGTAACTCGAGGATGTTCACAGTGCGCTAAAATAACTCACCAAATGTCTGTTTGTAAAGAAATTTATTATACCTAATTGAAAAATTAGTCTGCACATTTTAACTTAAAGTCATGTCTTTTACATCATTATTTGGATAACACATGCCAGTCATGAATGGGAAGTTCCTGTAAACGCTTTATAAGTCGTTTTGCCCATTGGAACCAAAAGAATGCAAAAATAACATTAAAAACAACTTCCAAATAAAATCCATCAATGTCGATTTGACAATTGCCTCCATTTTCAATGCATTCTCTTTTCATATTATCATCAGCACATGTATTCTTAGACAGAGTTTGTGTGTGGTTCAAACTGATGTCTTCAGAGTAATGACATGATCTCCATGTTATAACATCAACAAACCAAATTGAAAATGTTTCAAACATGTATCCACCAATGTAACTAATATTCATTAATGTCATATAAGTTCCACCAACTAATGGATCGGCCACTCTAGCGAAAAAAGACATATCTGCAGTATACATCGCTCGAACTGTAATCTAGAAAGCAGACAAAAATAATATTAAATAAAAATCTGTCTTGTTTAAGATCTCCTAACTATATACCTGATAAAAGAAAGTAAGAATCATGAGTGTGACATAGTAATAGGAAGGAATATCGTGAAGTTTTCCTTCAATCATCATCGGTGTTGCATAAACGAAAGCTACTGTCATAACCGAAATTATTACCCGATAGGGAAAAGCTTTATAATAAACCGTCATTGGATATCTTCCCGCTGTGTATCTCGAAAGCAAGATCGGTATAGTCAGTTGAACAGCAAATGATGGAATATTTAGCAAACCAATTTTATCTCTTGGTATTCCATAATCAATCAATTTTAAGTTGGTTATTGTGTCACGTGCTGCAGTGCTGATTCCAACAGTTGAGAAAAATGCTGCCATCAACAAAATCGGTTTCTTTTGAATAATTTTCCACAAAAGGGGATAAGCTTTCCTAATGCCAAAATCAGGAAGAGCTTTTAACTCTTCTTTATTTTCTGAGTATTCTTTCTTAAAAAATGTAATGAAGAATGTGACAGTTAAAAACGTCACTCCCCAAAATGCAAGAAATCCCGAAAATTTCACTAAACCTTCATCTCGAGGTTCACTGAAAATCCATTTGTTACAGAAATCTTTTGATTCCAATGCTAGAAAAACTGTGAATCCTAGTAGAACTCCAAAGCTTTGACCTACACAATTGATTGTTGCAAGATGTCCAACATTCCTTTTTTGAAGCATTGTCAAGGCCCAGCCATCAACTGCAATATCTTGTGTGGCTGTCAAAATCCATAGAAAGAAGAAAACTGTTGTGATCAATATTATATTAGGCTTTTGAGAGGCTTCGTCGCCAAACCAACTGTCAACACTTTGAGATAAATAAATCATTAAGCATCCAATTAAAGTTTGAGTGGGAAAAAGCCAAGTCTTTCGTCTGCCGAATGCTTTTGAGAATACACAATCAACAATAGGTGCCCACAATACCTTCACTAGAAAAACAAAAATAGAAGATATATGTCGAATAATCTAATTATAATGAATATCTACACATGAATGGGTAAACTGTTGTATAAAATATCGTTTGATCTGCATAAGAAACTCCTCGATTTTGCAGCATAACTTTCATGGAGTTTGTCAAACCCATTGGAACGCCTATCGAAATGTCACACTTTAAAATTTACTTTCATATATTTAAATGAGATAATACTTAAGAAAATTTCAATTCACCTTGGAGTATGTAAAGCGAGGATAATATAAAAACATTTTTGTAATCTCCTTTCAAATTTGGTTTGAGATCACTTCCAGGAGAAGCAACATTACTATCCATGTTATCGTCTTTGATTTTCATTTCTCACTAAATTAAATAAATAAATTTAGTAAATGTGAGATAAATGCAGAATTTCCTCTTTTCTTTACTCTCCTATTTTTACATGTAGGTATTTACGTATTGAGCAGAGATTTATGAATCAAAATACTTTCACGTCCACGTTAATAATATTCTGTATCTGTATAGATGAATGAAGAAAATAAACTATACATAAATAAGTAAACTTGATGAGTTATACCTGCCTACATAAAAAAGGAAAATAAGTAGATAATTCAGAAATTTAATTCAGCATGGGATATATTTAGGTTGAGAAAACTTTATCTTAGATATCAAGTTTGAAATAAAGATGAATAAGAAATTTGTGAAACGGATTTCAATAAAAAGAAAAACTGTTTTTCATTAACAAGTTTGAGTAACAATTTGTTGATATTTTCTCAAAAATATTCACTTCATTCTGAACCTTTGTAAACAAAACTCTATTAAGAGAGTGCAGAACAATTAATTTAATTATCTCTGAAAACCAATAAATATTTAATAAAACAGTAGCAAAATTAATTTCATGTCAAATGAGTTTTAATGTTTCTAATCTATTGCAGCTTCTGTGCATCTACAAAGATGGAAAAGAACATACATATACAATTTTTGTCTGAACTTTACTGTTCATTAAGTAGATATATATACAAATGATATAAATATATTCTGATATAAATTGAGATTCTTTAAAACTTTTTATATCTATTACCATTTTTTCAATTTGAATAATTTTATTCTAAAACCCAAAATAGAACCTGTTACTGAATATTACGATGGTTTTACAACTAATAAACATTCATTTCTATTTGATATAATAACCACGTACTTAATGTTATTACAAAATTAAATTTTACAAATTATTTATCTCGTCATCTCGACAAGATAACATTTTTAAAATTGGTAGATTATTAGCTAAATATTCTACTGGTGTGATTTTTTGTAAGCTTTGCTCAATTAAACCTCCACATTAATTCACATTTTACACATAATAACTTCAGATAATTTTAAGATAGATAATAAAGAAACCAGAGATAAAAATATCAATTAAAATGAAGCACTCATCCTTTCGGTAATGCATAATCAAATTTCATTAATTTATTAACAAGAGTTTAGCTTAAAATCATTCAAATATTATTGAAAGGAAACAACACGAATTTAGTAAAAGGAAAATGAAGACAACATATCTTAGATTCCAGTGTTAAGGCTCAAAACAACAACTTAATTCACCTACAACAGGTTTTCTTTGCTTAGGATTATTCTTTTTTTTAAGAACTTATTTAATACTTTAAAAGTAAAAACTTATTGGAAAATAATTGGAATAGATTTGAATAGAGAGATAATACAGATGCATCGGTTCTTTATCGTTTCACCTGAACCAATCATTTAGTTTACATTCGATGGATGATTTTTCATCAATTTCACTGTATTTTCGAGAGTTTTTGCATAAATAATAAACTACAATTATTCGAACATAAATTGATTGCATTCACGTGCTTGTCTTGCTTGAAGTCTGGGTTTGATTTCATCTACTCACACAGTTTAGAACGTTGCTACGTTATTTATGTTTGATATTTACTTTGTTATTAAATTTCTCTGTTTCTTTTAAAACGTAGATAATTACTCTGTCTATTATACTTTTTAATAAAACAGAACTGCAAATCAGGAAAAAGTAATTTTTTATTAGACATGAAAGGAAATGTGAACTTTTTCTTGTTCTTGAATGAAAGCAACACATCTAGACTAGCATAACAACTGATTTTGATCAATGTTATTAGCATTTGTATATTCCATAATTAGATATTCATCATTTTCTTTGATTTTAAAATCCATAAATATGTATGTTTGTTTAAGCAGAGGAAACTCACAATAATTGCATTAATTATGCTTTAGTTTTGAATTGCTTTTTGCATTAACAGAGTCCACGTCATAATTTCTTTACTATTCGTTTTACTAATGTTTTGGTTCTTACTAGACTTAAATAAAAATGAAGTATTTACTATTGGATCAGCATTTTTGCAATTGAGAGCGAATTTCTTTTTCGTCGCATCTTCATTAAAAATCTTATTAAAAATAAGCGATTTTTCTAGTGATTTTTGAATATTTTGAATCTTTTCATGAACTCCACTTACATTTATTCCATTTAGATTACTATTGTTTTCACACTCTTGAACTTCTGTGATTCTATTTAACGATTGACTTTCTCGAAGTCGTGTTTCCGTTTGTCGTCTTCGACCAGACCGATGTTTTCTATATCCGAGCTCTGTTGAGTGAGTAGCAGTTTTTTCACGATTTCCTTGTCCATCTGTTCCCGACTGCGAAGAGCCAACTTGTTTATTTGATGTCGTAGAGTTTGTAGTATGTCTAAGAGATCTTCCTGCATTATTGTTTCCTGAACAAGCCGTTCCTGGATCTTGCGAATCACTCGAATCGTCATGAGAATCTCTCCGCTGCGTAAATTGTTTAGCAATCCCGCTATCTATAATCTTTGTTGCCCTTTTCTTCTCAGATTTATCATCATCCGAACCATCAGTGGAACTTCCTGAAGTTGTTCGCGATTTATGGAATTTCGTTCGACGATGTGTAGCATTCGCTTGCGATCTCGTTATCGGTTGTGGAGTGTTTGTGTTACTGCTATTATTATCGGATGAACCAGCATCACACTCTTCAAAAATTTCTTTCAAGCAGTTATTCTTACATCCTTCAGGTGGTTCAGATGTGACATTTATTCGGATAGGAGAAGGCATTGTTTTGAAAGTTTTTATGATTTGATTGGAAGGTGTTGAAGATATATTGATAGCAGGAATCGAGATTGTTGAAGATTCACTTAGAAATTTCACATCATTTGGACGTGAAAAGTTTGGACGAACTTTATCAACGGAGCACAAATGAAGGCCTTTCTTATTTCCAGAACCGGCTTGACCCAAAAACTTTTCCTTGTTATGATCATTTTTAATAATTTTAATTCCCACAATTCCATCAATTATACTGATTTTATTCTTTTCCTTCAAATGCTGCTCGGCTTCATTTGAATGTTTCCTCAAAATACTTTGCTCCCTTTTTATACGTTCAGCAACTTCAGCTGTTAAACAGTCTTGGACGGTTACATTAATACGACCTTCAGATCTCGAACCTCGACGATTTAAAGGCGAAGAAGGTTCAGCCTCTTCGTCGTCACATTCTTCTTCTTGCACTATCGAACATTTACGATTTCTTCCTTTCTAAGTAATGAAAAATGAAAAAAAAATTAATTAAAATTTATTTTCTTAAGCTTTCATCCACAAAATTTTTTACCTGTGCACTTTCAGCTCCTGGAGTTCTTGGTGCATTCATTATATCAGGAATAAGCAATAAATTACTATCATGTTCATCTCGCGTTATCGAACTTTGGTTTCTAAAGGAAATTATTACTGTCAGCGACATTTTTAATGAATAAAAGAAAATTTATTTTACCTTGAAGAAGATGATGATGACGATGATGGTGATAAAAGTGGTAGTGACATGTCATTTCTTTTCTTATGATGATGTGTATGGTCGTGACGATAAGCTCGAAGCTTTCTTTCTGCTAAAAGGAAATACGTCGCTGTTATATGATTATATTCATTACGGTCGAGAGCACTGTAAAAGAAAAATGTATTAGAATAATTCGCATTTTACAAAATTATGTTAAATCTTACTCTAAAATTTCATCCTTCTGTGCAATGTTCCCATTCACCATTTTTTGAACAATCAATGAATGATCTTCATCACTGACTTGTTCTCTACTTACGAGGGGAAGATATTCGGGTTGCTGTGGTTCAGATTTTGGATTTTCATCGTCTTTTAACCAACTGTCAACTGATATTTGTTGGAGAGTTGCACGCTTTTCTGGTTCCCGAACTAACATAACACTTATTAACTTTTTACAACCAGCTGAAATATGATTTGGAATTGAATATTTACAATCCATAATCATTGTAAGCGTTTCCGAATCGTTAGCTTCTTGAAATGGAGGCTGACCACAAACTAACATATAAAGTATAACTCCTAAGCTCCATACATCAACAGCAGGTGCGTCGTAGCTATCACCAAGCAAAATCTCTGGAGCTGAATATGCTAAACTTCCACAAGATGTTTCAAGCTTTTGTCCAGGACAAAACTTATTAGAAAATCCAAAATCAGTAAGCTTCACTACGCCTAATTTTTGAAAGAATACAACATTCTCAGGTTTGAGATCACGATGAACAACATGCAATTGATGACAATAAGAAATTGCACGAACGATTTGACGAAAATATTCTTTAGCTAATTTCTCAGAAAGTCCACTTTCATGTCTCATTATGTAATCATACAAATCTCCACCATCGCCTAACTCCAAAATTAGATATAATTTTGTTTGCGTATCTATAACTTCATACAGTCGAACGACGTGGGGATGTTGCACGAGTTTCATACATCTAAAATATGAAAATAAAAGAATAGAAAAAAAATAATAGAAGGAAAGAGAAAACCTGCGAATGAAAACTTTATTCTGTTTATTTTACCTCACTTCCTGGAATAAATGAGCTTTAGAAACATCATCTAGCTTAGTTTTGTCGATAACTTTTACAGCAACCTTTTCACCAGTGAAGACATGACGTGCACGTTTTACAACAGCAAAATGACCTGAACCCAATGTTTCCTCAAGATCATACAGCCCAGCTATTTTCCCATCGTATATTCTTGAACGATTATTGAATCCCATATGGCGTTCTTGCTGTTGAATTATGGGACGCTGCATTGTTTCTATATTTATGTAATTAAGTTCTTCTTCTTTTTCTGAATGTTCTGGAATAAAATTTTTCATTATGAAGCAGAAAAATATCCAATTTAATAATAAAAGGTTGTAAGTATAGTTCCTTCTGTTATGTTCAGAATAGAAGTAGGCATTGAAATTGGAATTCCAATTAGAGTAAAAGTTTTTACATGAATAAACGTCATTTTATTATATCATTGATTTAGAATGTTTGTTTTGCAAAAAGAATGAAAAAGTTACAATTAAAGATCAGACACAATATCAAGGCAACATATTTAAATAATATTAGACACCCACAACTTTCAATGCCTTACAATTGCATACAAATTTTTATTTAAATATTTTAAATTTCAATTAAAAAAAGTGAACTTTCCAAAAGTGTCATAATCTATATCTTTGAATGTTTATTGGATATATACTTGCGTCTGTTTCGCGTTATAAAATAAAGACAAACTTAGCAAAATTTGTCTTTTGTCTTTCCATTCACTTTTTGAAAAGAATTTCTCGAAAAATTTCGTTCTTTTCTAGAAAATTATCAGAAATTTGACATTTATTTCTATTCTATTCACACCTGGTCAAACATTAGATTAACTCACCAAGAAGTTTTCGAATTCATATAAGAAATTTGAGAAAAAACGCAAATCAGGTGATTAAATTTGTCCAATTCTTTCCATTTCTCATTGAAATATCTTTAAACCAATTTTTCTCTGAAGTTTACTTTTATAATTAACAAGTTTTTTTATCGGAAATGATTTAATTGAAGCTTGTGTTAATGAATCCACTCGTAATATCATTCGCCACATGCAATCAAATGATATAACTTAGATTTAATATTTTTCTGTTTTTAGAAACACATTCTCAAGTTACTTTTTGTGTTTAAAGATAATTTTCTAAATCTTTTCGTTTTTGTAGAGAAAAATTGGAGAGAAAAGATTGATCCGCAGAAAAAGTTTATGACGCAAATTTAAAAATCACATGAATGACACTTTGGACTCTTTTTATAGCAAACTTTAGAATTCTAAGTTTACTCGAGTAATCTCATTGAGTAATTGCCATTGAAAATTTTTGTTTATTTATTTTGGAAAGCCAAACATTTCAATTTTTGAGTAGTATTCGAGCAAAATTTCATTGTAAATTGTTTCTCGTTATTTATGGTAATAGTCGATAATTTCTTGAGCTACTCTGAAACCAGAGTTCATTGCACCATGCACAAATCCACTATCATGTTCATCAGCAGCTTCTCCACCAAAAAGTAGAATTGGAGATTTATTTTCTTTTAGAAGAGGTTGTGCTAAATCATAAACAGAATTTCCTTGGGAGCCAAACGAATAAACACCATAAAAGTTATTGTCTGTTGACCAAAATGATCTTTTTATATTCTTAGGTCGCTCTAAAGACTTCTTCATGAAATTTTCAAGCATCCACATAATATCAGCAATTATGTCTTCATCGCATTTTGATTCAAATTCCAATATATCTGCTCCAGAAATAAAACCTTCGATAATTTTATCACTTCCGTCAACATGCATAAACGAGTAAATCCCAAGAAGCCTTTAATGATAAGAAATTAAATAAAATTTACCTCGCTTAAAACTAAACAATTATCTACCACTTCTTATCTGTTCCGCGCAGTTCATTCCTTTCAGCTTCAGACCATAGCATAGCAAATTGGTTTATGCGAGAAGGGAAATGCTTTTTAATAAAATTTTCTTCAAACTCTAGGAAAACTTTCCCGGCAACTCCGTATTGAATATCTTCTATGGCATGAATCTTTGTTTTAGGAAGAGATGGTGTAAACATTGTTTGATGATGTTTCTTGAGGCATCCAAGAGATATTGTAACTATCACGTGATCAACTAAAAATTCACTTCCATCTTCACATTTTATTGTGGCTTGATTAGAACTCCAATCAATATTTTTAACTTTTTTATTAAATAAAACTTTGTCGTAGATGTCAATGTATTTTTCCTTTTTCAATTTATTCTGAAAAAAAAATTATTTATTAAGTGAAGTTCATAATATAATTAATGAATCAAAAATTATCATGCTTACGTTTAAGAAATCTAGAAAAGTTATGAAGCCTTTATCTCTCCATGTTATGAACTCACTTCCTTCAGAAAGTTCTAAAGTGGAAACATATTTAGCAGGAACTTGATCTAAGTTAGTGCTTCCAAAATAGGCGTTCCAAATAGTATTTATTTGATGCAACATTTTATCAGCTAATTCTTTGTCAATGCCTTTGAAAGATGATGATTTAATCCTTTCATAATATTTCCTTGAGAAAAATTGTCCGAAGGTTTCTTCTGACTTTGATAATTCATCTTCTAATTCAAAGATTTCATCCAATAAATCATAAAGCTTTCTACATTTTTTTTGATCAAGTTCATTATTATCAGATGACAAAAAATATTTTCTATCCGTTGTCAAGTTGGAATCGCCAAACTTGAAAGAATCTTTCATCATGTAGTAAATATCATTTTCACCGGACACCCACTGTCCACCCAAGTCAATTTTGAAGCCTGTCGATCCAAATGGAATGCTATGAATTCTACCGCCGATTCTATTACTCGCCTCAAGGATAAAAACATGTTGATAATTATTTTCAAGAAGTTTCTGAGCAGCAGAAATTCCGCTAGCACCAGCACCGATGATTAAAATTTTTTGTGACTTTTCCATTGTGACTTTTTTATCAAACTGCAAGATTTTGTGAAATAATTTTTTTTTCTTTTATCAAGATATCGTTAGATAAAATGTACTGAATTTCTTTTTTATCACTACCTACCTAAATTGCTATAAAAAAGAACGTTGGGGGCTGTTCCAAAATTATTTTTGGATAAAATTCCTATTAAGCTGATTTTGACAAATGATTTTTAAATACCGAGCTTGTAAAAATATTTACTGTGTTGGGAAAAACGAAAACCATATTAAATCAGAGCTGGTTTTTATAAAGTGGTTTCTCACATCACATTCACACTTTTAATGTTTTTATATAAAACAAACTAAAGTAGTTTAAGTAATGAATTTTTCTAAAGCAGTGATCGCATTCAGAAGTAGATCAATGTGAAACAGTCTGAAAATCATCACGAGAAAATGTTATAAATTTTATTTCATTGGAAATTAATTCATCTCTTTGGATTTTTATTCGTCAAATGACTACATGTTACAAATCTTCTTTCTTTTTACATAATAGGAACATAAAAGAGGCTAAAAAATATATTCTTCATTTTGAGAAAAATCATCAAAGAAAAAATTCTTTTCTGATATAAAACAGCAAAGACAATGACAAGAAAGACAAAAAATATAAATAAATCGCTTTTGGTTTCGATTACAAATGACACAAATGAATGCAAGTATTTAATTTTCAGTTAAAAATAATCTTGAATTAATGTTTGGTAACATTAAACGCCTCATTATTCAATTATTTTGGTATTTATTTTATCATCGACTAGAGATCTGATTGCAATCCTGAAAATCCATTAGGATTATTTTTCTGCCAACGCCAAGCATCATCGCACATCTCCTTCAAACCTTTCTTTGCTTTCCATCCCAATTCCTTCTCAGCTTTTTCCGTACTTGCATAACAAGATGCAATGTCACCAGGACGTCTTGGCGCAATTTCATAAGGAATGTCATGTCCGCATGATTTACTGAAATTCTTAACCATATCAAGGACTGAGTAACCACATCCAGTTCCAAGATTGTAGACAACAAATCCTGAAACATCTCCCGATTTTAACTTGTCCAAAGCCGCTAAATGACCTTCAGCTAAGTCAACTATGTGAATGTAATCACGAACACCAGTTCCATCATGTGTTGGATAATCGTTTCCAAAAACTTTCAAAACCTTCAACTTTCCTACAGCAACTTGTGATATGTAAGGCATGAGATTGTTAGGTTCACCATTGGGATCTTCCCCAATTTGTCCACTTTCATGAGAACCCACTGGATTAAAGTAACGTAAGGAAATAACATTCCAACGCTATAAAAATAAAAATCAGAAATAGAAGAACATGATAATCATGTTTAAAACTTGTTTCTTACCTTATCAGATGCGCACAGATCTTTCAAAATCTCTTCAGTGAAGTATTTGCTTTTGCCATAAGGATTTGTGCAATTTCCGGTGGGATGATCTTCAGTCAAAGGCAAGAATTGTGGTTCACCGTAGACTGTTGCTGATGAACTATACACGAAATTGAAAACTCCATTATCAGACATCACTTCTAACAAAACTGATGTTCCGGTTATATTGTTTTGATAGTATTGTAATGGTAAACGGCATGATTCACCAACAGCTTTAAGAGCGGCAAAATGAGCAACACAGTCAATCTTATGCTGTAAAAGAAGATTAGATAATTATCAGCTGTGTCAAACATTATTTTGTGATTATAAATGAAACCTTTCATAGCGTGTGCTTCAAACATGTTTATTTAATCAACAAGGTCGAATCGATGTCACATAGATGGTAACTTTTCATCACAATCAGGAACATTTAAACATAATAAACAATGATTGCATGAAGTCTTATGCATTGCTTTAGGAAAGAAGCTACTAAACTTGTTATCTTTTTGAGGAAGGGGATTCAACGAGGAAGGGACTAGCTGAAGTATAAATTCGGACATAATTGAATTTTTGAGCACATTCAAAGTACAAGTGTACAAGTATAAGTTAGGAACAAAATGAAAATTGCAATTGCCATTCTTATTGCCATCATTGGCAGCTCTTTAGCAGCTCCTGCAAAGGACAGCCAAATCTTGGAAGAAAACTTCATACGCGATGATTTTGGACAATACTCGTACAATTTCTTATCTGGTGATGGTGTGGCACGTACCGAACAAGGATCATTCAAGACAAATGAAGAAGGAACTGGTAACATTTTGGTACAAAAAGGAGGCTATCGTTACTTGCTTCCAGGTGGAGAATTAGTCGAAGTCAACTATGTCGCTGATGAAAATGGATTCAGAGTTACAGGAACACATTTACCAACACCACCACCTTTGCCTGTTGTTTAATTAATGACGAAATAAAAAAAAGGACTTACCTTTTTGAAAACTTGATTTAATGCATTTTTATCGCGAATGTCAACAGAATAGAAAATTACTTTTTTTCCAGTTAATTCGTGAACTCTCTTAATTGATTCGGGAAACTCAGCCTTGGCATCCAAGTATGAATTGCATCCGTTATCAATACAAATCACAGTGTGTCCAACTTTCAAAAGTTCTAAAACTGTGTGACTTCCGATAAAACCGGCTCCACCCGTGATTAAAATATTCATTGACATTATGTGCCTTATCACTGATATTTAATAAAATTCTTGTGAATAAGAATTATTTAATAAGACAATTCAAACCTTACAACTTTGATGACTGGATTAAGGAGACTGATGTGTCAGCAGAAACGAAATAATTTGATATTTATTTATTTAGCTTGACTACTCGAATTCAACTCCACGAAACTTTGCAAAACACTTTATTAATAATGCTCCACATCACGACTGAAAAGATTACTGTATTGAAGTTTTCGTAAAGTTTCGGTTCTTATCATCACATGAACTGTTATCAGGCGATGTTGTTTACTTTTAGAGAACTTGCGATGTTTTTTTATTTCAAGCTTTCGGTCCATTTTCATTTCGTTTCACTTATTTGAATTGATCGCAACATATCCTGGCACGTTATTTTTTTCTCATTTAACTTTAATTTATTACACATTATCTAAATTTTATAAATGGTCAAAAGTTTAGAAATATAACAAATCAAATATAAAATATTTTTATTCCTGAAAAAATTGGAATTTTAGCATGTAAAAAGTTAATGCAAAATAGGATAAAAGCACATAACGGTTTATTTGAATCTCGTCTTATCATAGCAGCCAGATCTGAACTTTCCCTTTCACCCTAAACGAATTTTTTTGATTTTTTATCAAATCTTTGAAATTGAAGAATTTTATGAATTTGATAATTTCAACCTTTTAAATGTGTATATTTAATGATTTTTCAATTTAAAAACTTTCCTTGAAAATTTGCTCATCAGACGAATGAAGTATTTAGAAATACCTCACCCTACCCTTACTTCATCGCATTTCTCCAATGTTTTTCTTCATAAGACCCACAGTATCATCTCACTCACAGTTGAATTCGTGTGGTTTGGCTTATTAAGCACTAAATTCTGAGTGAAATAAGTTAAAGTGAATTTCTCAGTTATTAATTTCGGTGCATATTAGAATTGAAGTGTAAAATGAGCAGTAAGTGAAGAAAATAATTTATTGTCACCTTACGCAAGGTCATTTGTAATAATTCCCGATTGCGTTTCAAATGATATTTAATTAAAGAATAGATCATGACAACCAAAAGTGACAAAAGATGTGAACGTTTATTGAACTCCTAATGCTAATTGTGCTGTGAAATTCAATGAAGAATGCCCACGTTGTAATCTGATTGCATCATTTTTATCACGTCTTATCTAAAAAATTTAAAATCTATTTACAACTTTGAAAGATATCTTCCTGAATGACTATCATTCTAAAAAATTAATTATGTTATCCGAGAGAAATAAGCGAAAAGAGTCAATAAGTATTCATAGTTTAGAATTCTTAAGTCTTATGCGACTATCAAAGAATTTTTTTCATCGTGGCTTAAATTCGTTCATCTTTTATTTTTTCATTAAAATTTTTACTCTCCCAAAATTAAAATTAGACACACTAAATTGTGAAAATATCATCGGGGTACCAACAAACACATACAGGAAATCTATTCAATCGAGTTATTCATTCGTTCTTTAAAGCAAAGGCTGCGTTTTTATCAATTCCTGAGAATAAGAGAGAAAGAGAGAAGGAATAAGAGGCATATAAAGAATGAACATATTCTTGAATATCTTCTGTTCTGTGACTTTGAAAATTTTTGTTTGATTATTGAATCTGTAAATGAGTGTGAAAAGTCATGGGAGAGTGAAATTATAGTGAATTTGATCAATCATCGTCCAACAATAAAATTGTCTCTCGTACGCTATAAATACGAAATAAAAAATACCGGCACCATGCGGGCAGTCGGTGCAAAAGCAAATGTTGGAAATAAAACAAAAATTATCAATACGTGATAAGCTTTGCTTAGTTGTCTTCTTATTTAATCGTTAGTAATAACTGGTTTATTCACTGTGTTTATTTGTTTATCAATTCTTATATCTATATAAGAATACTTATGTACATAGTTTAGCCTATATTGACTTAAAACTGATTTTTCTTCATCAATATATTTATAAGAAGTCAGTTCACATTTGCATAAATTATGCACAGTTAAATTTTTTTTCGTACGTGTATTGATGTTCGTCAGAAATGATGAAGTAGAAAAAATATCTGGAGACTTTAATTTACTAAGTCGTCATTTTTCATAGGCATCTGGCATATTTTTTGACTTAAAATGACTTTCACATACGTCAAAAAATGTTTTTTTCTTTCAGATTTTCCTATTTTTCCTTGAATTGTTTTCAAAAATAGAGAAGAAGAAATCTTAAGTTTCCGTCATGGATAATTATTTCCCGACCTAATTTAACTAAAAGGTTTTAACTTATGCGGAAACAGCGATTATTTAAAAAGGATTCTTATCTACATTAAACGATGTTTGGTGCATAATAATCTTACTTTGATAATTGAAATTGAATACTTGAGATTAATTTTCGTGATTTATTAAACATTTTCTTAAGTAAATTAGGTAGTTAAAAATATTTTAACTCACACTTTTTCAATTTAATTCATTGATTAACCGCCTCGTGTGTATATAGAAAGTGATAGAAAAAATCTTCATATGAACAACGTTGAATGAATCTTCGTTTTGTTTAATTTTTTAAATATTTCCGTCGTTATCATTTGACTAACGCCAGTCAAGGTTATCACTTTTGTTACCTTTTTCTTTCGTTATTTGTGACCTTCAATTGATAACTGCAGTTGAGCGCATGGAAACGTATGATTATTTGGGTTACTCGGGTATGCTTGATATGTGCCCGAATGTCCCGCCAAACCTGAGATAATTGTTATGCAATGTTTGTTTTTAAAATATTTGCTTTCATTCAAACGAAAAAATGTATTTTCCTATCATCAACACTCAGACATGTGTCATATTACTTAACAGCAAAAATTATATAATTTCAAAGATTGCCGTTGTTACAAATTTTATCCTTGTAACGTTAAAGATGCAAAGTCTTTGTAATTGAAATGTTTCAGAAGAATTCTCCTTCATCATTCTCATCACTAGCGGTTCTGATATCCTCATGATGATGGAGATTTCAGTTACAAGAAACTGATTTAATGGTTTATGATGTGTGTGAAAAATATTCAACTTCCCGTGTTTGACAACTGCCACCAACGATTACTTGGTCAATGTTTATTTTAAGAAAGTTTTGTCAAATTCTTATTCATTTGTTTACTAATTTTTATCTTATTTCTTACATTTCTAAATGATTTTCCTTGGCGTCATCAAAAAGCTTATTATTTTCATGAAAAAAGATTCGGCTAGTTTAAACACTTTGAATTTTAAAAATAGATTTAAATGAAACCATGGAACATGCGATGGCGATTAAAAAATATCTGACAAAAAGAAGTAAAGCCTCGAAATTGTTCGTTGTAGAAATTTCATCTCTGATGTCACAGAGCATAAGCGTGACTAGCTGTGATCTCTTTTCTTAATTTTCATTTTATAATGTAAAATATTTCATAGTCTCTAGTGCCAAAAATTAATAATGGAAAAGAGAGCGAAATTCATTTCAATTTTTTGGGGGACAACTCATGGGTGTTCATTCTAAACAAATCTTTTCCAAATTATCTAATAATAAAAGAAATCTCATAAAGTCGCATTACTTTTATCATATTTTAAGAAATTGGATGGAATCCAAGATGTTTGTTGCTTTTAAGTTTGAAAGATGGTTTCTTTCATTCATCCCACATTGTGATAACGACATGTTGTCGGTTATTGACATGTTATCGCTTGCAGATGCTAATTATTATTAGAATTATGATGTTATGTACTTTTTATTGCAGAATGCGCGTGGGTTACATTAGCTACTAATGATTCATACTCTCTGGGAGCTCTAGTTGTAGCGCATTCATTGAGAAAAGTTTCAACTAAGCATCAACTTGCTGTTCTTATCACACCAGGAGTGACGGAGTCTATGATAGAAAAGTTACAAGATGTATTTGATGTTGTTCAACTTGTAGATGTTCTCGATTCAAAAGACTCAGCTAACTTGGCAGTTTTAAAGCGTCCCGAGCTTGGCGTAACATTCACTAAACTTCATTGTTGGAATTTGATTCAATTTGAAAAATGTGTCTTCCTTGATGCTGATGTTCTTGTAAGTTATTTAAATCATATTTAGACGATAAATTATTGAAATGATTCTTCCATTCAAAGGTTCTTCAAAATTGTGACGAGCTGTTTGAACGCGAAGAACTCTCTGCAGCTCCAGATGTCGGCTGGCCTGACTGTTTCAATTCTGGGGTATTTGTTTTCACTCCAAGTGTTGACACATATGGAAAAATGATTCAATTTGCTGAAACTTCTGGAAGTTTCGATGGTAATAAAAAGAAAGAAAGAAAGTTAACAAATGAAATTTTATGAAATCAAAAATTATTTCTAGGCGGTGATCAAGGTTTACTGAATCAATACTTTTCAAACTGGTCAACAGATGGATCCAAACGACTTCCATTCTTGTACAACACAGCATCAACAGCGACTTATTCATATTTGCCCGCATTTAAGAAGTGAGTAATTAATATAAACTCATAAAGTATCTATTCTTATTGTCTTTTATACATTTAAGGTTTAATCAAGAAATAAAAATTCTTCACTTCATTGGTGAAACGAAGCCATGGTCACAACATTTTGATTCGTCATCCAAACAAGTACAAACACCACCTGGCTATAATCATCTTCAATGCTTTTTACAAATGTGGTGGGATTTGTTCTGCGATAAAGTTCATCCATCGTTGACACAGGAAATGGTAAGTTGAACTTTGACTGCTTTTATATTTTTGATTATGAAAATTTGGTGGTCATAACGAAAAAGAAAGAAAATTTTCAACTTTTTTTCAAACACCAAAAGATTTTTGCAATCTACCAGATTTTAACTTTTTAACGGCTTAGTTAACGATGCTTTTTTTTAATTATCCAATAACAATTATTCCCATTTCAAGTCTGATCGCAATATAAGAATTTTTATTAGAAGAGTTGATGAGGTAAGCTTCGATCAAGAATTTTATTTAGCTTTTGTTTCTTCTATTGCTTTGTTTCATTTGTCTCTAATATTAAATGCTTTATCTTCCTACAATATGTTTTGAATCAAGTACCACCACCACAATTCACGGGTTTTTTTAAATATAATATTGAAACTTTTTATATTTATCGCACTTTACAGTAGGGCTTGGAATTTTTATTGTTTTTTATTTCAAATTCTTTGATCTTTTTCAATGTTTAATAATTTCCTAACCGTATTCTGGCATCGATTTCAATTCTAAGCTCTGTTTAGTTGACAAATGTAGCTACCAATTTGTCAACTCCGTAAACAACAAAGATTGATGTTATTCACACACCTTTTTGTATATTTCACTTTCGGCCCTTTTTCCTTATTGTAAATTGTAACTAAGTCTGACACTTCTTTGACATAACCATGACGAAAACTACATCAACAAAATCTTTCATAACAGAACGAAGTTGGTGGCGTTGACTCTGAACCTTTACTGCAAACCTATTTAACTGAAATCCAATTTGATTCAACATCTACGGAAGATGTTGTTGGTAGTGACGAAAGTGAGACACCTTCTTATAGTCCTTACTTGATCGAGTACCATGAAGACACAAATACGTTTACTTACAATGATCCATGGATAGAAATGGATAATAATTCGAACAATAATTGTAACACTGATATTAGTTTAAATGTGGAAATAAATGAAATTCCAAAAGACACTCCAAATCTACATGAGTCAGTTTCGACCGAGCTTATCATACCGCCACAACCGGTAGACCACGTTCACTTTTGCGATAGTGTAATTGAAAAAGACATTGAAGAGGAGAATATTCCATTAATTCAAGCTGAAGTGGCAGTAGAACATGTGCCCGAGGTGAGTTTCCCATACGTCTAAAAAATATGCGAACTTCATTTGATAGTTTTGGCTTTCAATGAAATGTCTTTCATTATTTCTTTCTCCCAATGAATTGATGGTACATAGTTAAAGGAAAACAAGGTTGTGGAAAATTTAGATTGTTTAGTTAGTGATAACACGGTTGTGGTGAAAATCGGTATTGAGAAGGAAGAGGATGAGGTTGAGGTGAGTTTTTTCACACATCGAAGCAGTTCTCAAGGTTGAACTTTAATTATTTTTCTCGGCTTGTGGGAAAAACTTTCTATCATTGTCGTCCACGTTTTTTTTTTCGTTGGATGAAATTGTGTGGTCAAGTCTGCTGGCATGCATCCAGCATGAATTTATCTTTATTAAACGCAGTATCATCTCTGCACGTTCGAAATCAAAATTTTGAAAATCCTCATTTTTAAGTGGATGTGATTTTACGTGTGAAAATCATCTTCAAAACAAACCATTGTCTATTGATGACATCGTTAAAAGAAATAAAAGAGTGAAATTTCGCTTCAATTAACTCTGCACATCTTAAATTTAATGAATTTTTCAACGAGTTGTCAAGCTGCTTATTTACGTTTCTGATGACAACTTGAGTATTCATTGCATTATTCATCAATTCAAATCGGTCATCATCGTCATTAAAAATCCAGTTATATTTTTAGTGAAACACGAAACCCGATAAACATTTCTTTTGTGATTTTTCTTACAACTTTAGTTTAAAAAGCGTGAGAGCAGGAGCGATGATAAAATGTGTTGATGACATAATTGGCAAAACAAGAGTAAAATCTCTGCATTGAATCTTGCTTGTTATTTCACGCAATTTTTCTCGCGTGACATGTTTTGTCGTATCAAACAGTCTACCGATTTAGTTTTCTTTTCATCAACAAAGTCTCAAATGATGCATTTTAAAAGTTAATTTTATCTAGGGTAATGTTTGTGGAAACTTTGTTTCTGAAATGGATGGGAACGTCTCATTTTCCCAAAATAAATATAATGAAATCTATAATTTTAACATTGTTAACCTTAATAACAACAATTGTTGTTGAACTTTTATATCCTGAAACGATAATAGGGAAGAATTCTCATTTTATTTTTTTCTCAGAAAAATATTCTCGAAAACAGATAGGAAATCAAAAATAGATTTTTATTTCAATGACGTAGGACTACGAGTAACTTTTTTAAATTTCAAATGAAAGTTTTATTTTCGAATACTTTTAAGTAATTTAATTTTAGTTAATTCTTAAAAATTTTAAATCATGCGTTTTTATACGATTCAACTTAAGGTGTAAAAAATTATTCTTGTTTTTTTTTTCGTTTCGATCATGATTACGAAATGTGAATTTCACAGAATCTCTTACAAACGACGAAGACATGCACACATATCGATGTGAATATATATTTCAGGAGGAGAAAAATGATCACAAGCGGAGAAAAACACACGGAAAAATAAATATTGAGAAGAAGAAAGATCAGAAAATTATAAATGAAGGGAAAGAAAGAAAAAAGATTTTCCTGTCTTTAACAAACGATTTTGACGTTTCAGTTGAGTTTAAGTGCTTCTTGAATTCAGATCTCTCTGAGTTTCTTTCTATCGCGATAGTTTCAAGTTTCATTTTTCCCCAAATTCATTTCAGGTAAATAACCCTTCATAGTTCAATGATCGATTTATGTGCTTTGTAAAAATAATCAAATGTTTATTAAGTAATTCCATCAGAATTAATTTTTATTTTATCTAACAAAAAGTTTTTAATCGTGAGCCTAAATTGAAGGTCATCAAAATGATATTTTTGATCGATGTGGCAAAAACAAAAACTTAAAAGTTTTAGTGCCTTAACGAATTGAGTGCCTTTAATGAGTTATTTGTCATAACAATGTGATTTAGATGAGCTTTTAGCATTATAAACTCTCATTTTCTACGGTTAATTACTTAAAGAAACATCCAGAAAATTAATTATTATAAACAAACAATTCATTGCCTAGTTACACGAATTAATTTGCAAAACTAATTAACAAATGTCACACTTAGTAAATTAAAAATTTTCAGGAATTTTTGAAAGATATTATGACATTGAATTATTCGGAGAAAGATTTTCATGGTTTTCACTTCCAATGTCGACAGTAAAGGATAAACAAATTTTATTTTATTTCCTTGCATTCGCGGAGTTTGCAAAAATTTCTATTTTAAATTATTTTTCTTATTTAATATCATTTCGATATTTGTTTAAGTTTTGTTTTTGGAAAAGTCTGATTTGAGTCATGAATGTATTTTTAAATATCCTACATGAGAAGATATTAAATCAAAGCAATACTTTTGTATTCAGATTGATAGACTTTGCAGCTGCTTTTGAAAGTAATTTTTACTGCCAAGCTATCAACGATCACGCGTAAAACATCGTCATAAAATGCTGCTTAAACATTTACATTATTCGTCTATTTTCACCTAAAGATTTCTTTGCTACACCTAAAGAATCATTTATTCAAAAACTTTATTCAAAAAGTTTTTGAATCAAACTTTTCAAGCTTTTCTCTTTAAAAGTTCTTCGCACCAAACATTTCTCGATGTCAATCAAACGTCTTTAAAAAATTGTTATGAAGAGAAGTTACGAAACAGTTTGTTTTTACTATACGTTTTCTTAAAACCTGGAGTGAAGCGTGTGCAGAGTTCTTTTTTTTGTCTCGTGTGTGGAAAATATAAGTGTTGACCAGCTATATTCTTAGTTTCTCTTCTGCTCTCAAAATCTATTTTTAAAGCACATTGGTAAACATTTATGTTAGGCTTATGCGAACCGGGTAGCTCAGCGAAGATTTCATGGAAATAATAAATATTTACAATAAGCAGAAAGCGTATCAATGTTAGATGACATCAGTCGATAATCGCAATTAATACTGCTTTTGTGTCTTCATTCCGGTCGTTATTTCGCTTATTTAATTTGTTATTTTTGGTTGAGAAAAATAATTCTGCGATTTCTTCTCCACCTGTGCAATATTTCAACTGATTTCCTAAAAATTTTCTATCTTAATTTGTTTATGTACATAAAAAAATCAGAAAAATATTTTTCCATCAGAAAGTTAACCTTTCTATATAATGTACGATTACTTAATTATCTATATGTACAAATGAACCACTTACATATCAAGACAGTTAACGAAAGGCTCTTGACACAATTTTAAAATTATGAAATTATTTTCTGCACAAAAAAATTAAATAATCGAGTTTCAAAGACAGTAAAATAAAAAGAAATCTTAAAACAAAGTCATTGAAAAATATTTTTCCATCGTCTTAAAGATCTCTCAAAGCGAATCGATGCCGATGAAAAATAGATTTCAAAGAACATTTGCTTGGAGGTGTCTGTTCGACTTTCTTTAATTTGTTTATTTTTGACACGACTGCTTGTGGCTGGGGGATTAGTGATCAGTTTTTATTGTAAAATGTGATGTAAAACGAAAATAAATGTTGCATGCCAAAAGGAGAAGAAAACTTCTTATGTAATCATTTGAACTCACAACATAAATTATTCATTTTCATAATTAACACAGGACTTTTTCATTCATAAATTTTCATTCGTATACGTACGTGAACACTCGCGGCTTTTAATAATTTATTTGACAATTAGTTTCTTTTGTAGTTGACGACAGAAGCTCTCAGTAGTAGAAATTTATTCGCTTAATATAACAGCTGAGTAACGATCTGAAACTTATTTCATATGATTTGATCATATTTAAGTAACTTCGTAATTCTTTGTGTGGGTGGCTCAAGATTCAAAACATTATATTTTTTCTCTACCTTTACACTTCTTTTTATATTTTCATTCTATTAAATTAAAGCGATGATATAAATTATCTGAACCTTTATATATTTTTCTGCCTTCTCTCTGAGACAGAGAAAGGAAAATGTAAAGAAAAATTCTGCAATCTCGAAGTTTTTAGCTATTTTTTGACGTAATCTCATTTCATTACGATGAGAAGAAAAACAAAGAAGATTAATTAAAGCAAGTTTTATGTTTTTCGCTTTAACATTTTTTTAATTGTTTTTACTTATACACTTTTTCTATAATAAAAATCTAATATTTTATATTGAAAAAAACATAAAATTAATCAAGAGGAAAATTTCATAAATGACGTCAGTTTTTTGCTTTTCACATGTTTTGATCTTTTCCACCCACTCACTTTTCTCTTTTCATTTTCGCGTTCATTTTACATGACACTTCATTAAATGCTTTTTCCTAGAAAATACATTTGGCGTCATTTATGGAAGTTTTCCTCTTTCAAAAATCAGTGTCACAATGACATAACATGATCTTTCTCTGTTCTTATTTATTTAGAGTGGTATTGCCGGTGCATTAGCTACTTTGGCACTAGGAAGTGATCGTACACCTGAACAAGTTGCTTATGAAAATCAATTCCGCCGTGCGAATTGGGAAGCTGGTCAAATTGATTATTTAGGTATTTATAATGATCTCGAAATAAAAATTTAAAAACATTTAATTAATTATGTTTAATAACAGGCCAAGATTCATTTGACAATATCTTGAAAAAAATTCAAGAAACAATCGAAGCTCCACCAGCTGAAGTTGTTGAGCAACGTGAACGTAAACGATCTAGAACTCCACAACCTGTTGAACAAGAATTAGTTGTTCCACAAGAACCTACAAAATCAGTTGTAGAAGCGCCAGTAGCAGTTGCAAAAGCACCAGAACCTGTGCAAGCACCAGCACCTGTACAAGCACCCGCGCCCGTACAAAAACCAGTAGCAGCACCAGCAGCAACAGCAGCTCCTAAGCCTATCGTTGAACCTAAAGTTGCAGCAAGTAAATCACCTGTAGTTGAATCAACTCCAGCTAAAACTTCAGCGCCAGTCACAGCAAAACAAGACTCGCCAGCATCTGCCAAAAAGAAGGAAGGTAAATAATTCGTAACATGAAGGTTAATTTTTTTTTTTTAAATTCAAATCCATCCAACAAACAAAACAGACGCCATAATTTTCAAAACGTTGTGATGTTGTTAATCGTTTGCTAAATTTTCTTGCCTTTTTAAAACAAAATTTATTTTTCATATTTGCTTTTTCTAGATTTCTAATGTTAATTTAATTATGCTTTGAGTGTATGATTTCGATGATATCTATGTAACTTCAAAAAAAAAATGTTTCGAAAATATTCAGGCGCACTCTGAAGAATCAATTAACAACAAAAGCTCATCAATAACACTTTTAAGTTTACAATTTAAAGTACACAACATTTTCTCTTTCTCTCTCTCTTTTATTGGTCAATTTGATACTTCGGTGCATTCAATTTATGTTTGGCTTATTGATTAATTATCTATTTTTGTTTTACAGGTTCTAGTTCATGTTTATTAGCTTAAACTTTAAAAGATGAAGAAAAGAAAAAAATTCAAATTGATCTTTTTGATTATGATATGAAATAAGTGTTGGATGGGGCAACCATTGAATTGAATGCACTGGGAAGTGATTTTCTATTTTGTTTTGAATTTGCTTACCAATTTATAATACTCACCCCACCCACACATCAATTAAGAATTAAGTAATAGAAATGTTGAATTTAAGTTTATGATACTTTCCTCACTTTTTTATATGAAATTTTTTAAGACTTGCAATTTCTTGCCTAAAGTTACATTTGCTTATTATTGTGTAGCTTTTATTCATCATCAAATATTCTTTAGAAATAAAAATTGAACTTGTTTAATAAATCGAATCAATTCGAATGGCTTAAGGAAAATATAATAATGATAATTATATTAACTAAAGATCTTTGGTTGATTATGCTAATTTAAACCTTAAGACATGTGAAGATGGAAACCGATTTTGAATGAAGGAAAATTGTGTTGTTCGTGCCTTTATAATTCTATAAATTTGTATGCTTTGAAGTTATGAAACAAACATTTTTCATCATCACCTTACTTACTCATCTCATACACAAAAGTTATCATAAAATCAAACTTCTTCCTGATTTATATCGAATCTCATTTATCCTTGCTCTGCAGTTATGTTTAATGAATGATTGATAAGAGTATGATTTGTTCGTTCAATTTTATTATTACGCACATGGATATTTAGCATCTTGTTAAAAAAAGACACAAACATGCACAAAAGTCCAATGCACGCACTCATTTTTATTTTTTACCCTTCCACGTTATGATTTAGATTACGCATTATATTTGGGCATCATTTTATTACTCATTTCAATATCGCTAATATGGACATACACTGCAATGAATTAACTCACACGTGCAATGAGTTCGAAAAAGCGCACAAATCATTTACAATGAGAGACATACTAATATGAACTTACATTTGTTTATCTAATTTAAGAAATATCTACTCAGAAATAATTTTTATTATTTGCCAAACTAATTATTAAACAAATTTATAATGAAAGAAAATGAGCCAAAACTGATGAATATGAAAGAATTCTAATTTTATGATTTTGAAATGTTCTGTTTTTTGTTTTATAATTTTTGCAATTTAATAATTATCTAGATGCTATAAGTTTATTTAATTAACAATTTAAAAGTAATAATAATAAAATTCATAATTTTTTTAAGGAAAATATGAGCAATCTTTTAATTTGCTTAAATATTATTTGTCCAAAATGAGTTGCTATATTTAATATTTTCAGGATAATAAATCAATGTTTTAATTACGAAGAGATTCTTCCTTTGAGTTTCAACTAAACCTTTAATCAATTAAGTTTATCTTTTACTTATAGCTAAAAAGAGTTCTCATCAACATTATCGGCTTAGGGTTGAGTACACTAACTAGCATCAAACATTGAAATCTTGCCTAACCAATGGGTTTTTCAATTGCTTTAGCTTAACTACTCGTAAAGCAGAAGAAATTTATGACTTCTAATGGTTTATCGTACATTGGATGAGATTGAAACCCAAATAAAGTAAAGTAGACGAAATTAAAATTCCAAATTGTTTAATAACTTTTCTGTAATCATTTTGAGTTAGGAAAAATAATTTTTTTATATCTTTTTGTAAGTATGAACTTTGAAAACAAAATGATTTATGAAAGTTTCTCTCTTTAGATTTTTCTTTGACCCTCTTAATCTTGAATGTTGTAAATAAATAAATTGGATGTAGATTAGTAACTAACTTTCCTATTTCATTTAACTCTTTCACTTCACTTTCTTTAACCATCATGCAAAAGTAGAGAAAAGGAAACGAAAATAAATCAAAACGTTATTTTACCACAATCCATACTATCCACACACAAACAGAACAACCTACGGCTGAAAACGTTTCGGAATCAGTAGCAGAAGAAGTTTTAAAAGCAGAATCAGAAGAATCAATACTCCCATCATCAATTGTGCCTATCCCAGAATCAAATCCACAACAAGAAGTTCAGGTTCAAGAAATTTTAATCGAAAAAATTCCTGAAGCAGCAGAGCAACAACAAGTTGCCGAACCAGTAACAACAACAGAACCAATTACCGAACAAAAAGAAGTTTCAACAGAAACAAAAGAAATTTCATCAGGTCCAGTTTTAGAGCAAGTTGTAGCACCAGTTGCAGAGACAGAAACAGTAGCAGAAGAAGTTAAAGAACCCGAAACATAATAAATCAACATGACTCACGTACCGCCATCCTCATATGAAGAACTTTCCGAGTTACTCGGAGATGAAGATGAAATCACCCAAACGGATGATGCAACCAACACTACAATTGTCACCAAACGCATGGACGACGATGGTTTTCAACAAATAATCACAACGAAAGAATGGGTCAATGATAAAGTTGGAAAGCGAACAACTCAAATGGTTCGCACTTATTACCCAATGGTCGAAGACGAAGAAGAGGTTGAGGAAAATGTCGAGGAAGAAGTTATTGACGACGAGAAATTGGCTGAACTTCGGGCAAATGCTCCACCTATGCCACCTCCGGAGACTGAAGTTGGAAAAGATGGAAAGAAAAAGAAGAAGAAGCAAAAGATTGAAGGAACTGCTGACGTTGTTCGCGAAGCCTTCGAAGGTGGTTATAAGGAAATTACTACAATCAAATTCCCTGATGGAACCCAGAAAGTTCAAACAAAAATGTTCTATGATCCAGTTGATGTCCCAAAGAGTGAAACAAAAGTTGTTGAAGAGACTCAAACAACCAAATCTGGCAAGAAGAAGAAGGTGAAGAAAGTCGTCAATGTTAATCAGGAAATTTTGGAAGAGTATGAAGATGATGATGGCAATCCCGTTGTTGTCTCTCGTGAACCTTTCCCTGATGGAACCGGACATAAAGATATTACAAAAACTAAGTTATCAAATGGCCAGTATAAGCAAACTATTCAAATTGTTATCTACCCGAAAGAAAAGGAAATTATTGAAACAACAGAAATTATTGAACATGAAGCAACGTCTATTCGTATGAATGTCAAAGAAACTACCATAAAACAACATCGTGAAACTGAAGAAACTGAAGAGAAAACATCAAGTAAGAAAACCAAAAAGAAGACAACAAAGATTGAAAAGCATCATGCAGTTGAGCAGGAAGAACAGCAACAACAGCATCAAGTTCAAGTTCAACAAATTCAACAAAACCAAAATAGTGATCTTGAAACAAAGAAAATTACAAAGAAAACAATTAAGAAAGGTTCTGATGAACAAAGAGCTGCTTTAATGGCTCGTGATAACTCCGAAGGTGTAACAACAGTTGTTCGTGAAAAGACCGACAAAGGCTATCGCGAAATTTCAACAACGGTCTTCTCTGATGGATCCACAAAAACTCAAACTCGCGAATTCTTTGATGCTGTTGAAGAAACTATTGATCCACAACAAGCTATGGAAATGCGAGATAATTTGGCTGTTTTAGCATCACAAGCACCAAGAGTAAATAAGAATGCTGATGGATCAATTTCAACCATTGTCGTTGAGCGCATTGATAATGGCTACAGACAGACAACAACAACTAAAAAGTTGAATGGAGCCACCTCAGTTCAAACCCGTGAATTCTACGATCCCGTCGAAGAAGACGAATCCAATTCTTATGGACAAAAGCGTCGTGTTGTGCAATCGCAACAAAAGATTCAAGGCCAGAGCAACACCATGAAGAGTGTCAAGCTTTTCGGTTAATTACTTTTCTTGACTTTATCATTATTTGATTGAATTCATTCAATATTTACTTGCTATACTTTTTCTTATGAATTCATGAACTTTGAATTTGATAAAATGATTGTAGTTTGCAAAACAAAAATAGTTTACATATATTTGTTGATAACCATTTGAGAAAGATTATCACGTTAATCTAATGCGTTTGATGACAATTCAAATATTTCTTACACGAAACACTTATCTACATATAACACTCATATACACCCACCCACATATAAACACACATAAATAAATACACATTTACATAAATAATTAATTCACAACCATATTTATTTACACACTTAATCAATTGCAACGGAACAATTAATTATCTAATGAGAATATAAAATATTAAAGAAAATTTAAAATATTATCGAGGGACATGCAAAATTAAATGAAACTTCTACGAGCACTTAGTCAAAACATCGTGAATTATATATTTCTCATTCTAAATGTTTATGCCGTAGCTACTTAACTGTTAATGTACATAATTCTTAATCAACTCTCTTTTATTTTAATTTGAAAACGCATAAAAATCAAGAAACCTTTCTCGATGAAGATGAAATCTTTAATTTCAATTAAAATATGTTTGTGTGTTGGAAATCAGAGTTTAAAATGATAGAATCGATTATCTACGATAATCTGGAATAGGAGTTGATAATCGATTTTATCGTTTTCTGATAAAAACTTTTCTTTCGGTAAAAGCGAGTGAGAGAACAAAAATAAAACCAAAAAAAAAATACTAATCTTTTACTGACATCTGCTCTAAATAATCTCTACACGTTTTTCGATTTTCATAGGTTTTTCTTTAAATATCTCTGTAGCATGTAGAAGAAAAACAACCCAATAAATGTCATTTATGATTTGTATGGAAAATTTTTATTTTTTTTCGCAATAAAGAGAAACACAATTTTTGTTAAAATCAAAGTATTCATTTTTAGTATTTGTGCTTTGATGTTTTATGAGAATATTTCTTAGGTGATGGAGATCGTGATTTTCTTCGAGATGATCTGGGTGGTGAGACTGATGGACTTCTTGATCGACCACGTCGATGTCTGTGGAGACAAAATGTTAAAAAATTAACTAATTCAATTCAATATTCTTACTTTGTCTTTGATGTTGCAGGTGAATTTGATCGAGATCGCTTTGACCGCTGATATTTTTCTCTTTCTGATGATGACGATTTTCTTGATCTCTTCGACTTTCGTTCATTTACTTCAATATCTCGACGAGACGAAGAAGAGGTGTAACGATCAGATTGTGAATCTGAATCATGTCTCACAGCTTTTCTCAGCAATTTTCTTCTAAAATGTTCAACTTGTTGTCTTACCGTCCATCCAGATTTTAATTTACGTTCTCCTGATTCTATCTCATCCTGATATTCTAATATTTTAACTTCAATTTCACGTAATTTTCTTCTTTTCTCTTCATCATCACTTTTAGAATTTTCATCGCTGTCACTGCTTTCACCATAATTACAAATTGACGATATTTTCGGAGGTTCAGGGGCGACTGGTGGTTCTTGAAGAAGTTCCCATTTTGATGTTATCGCTTGGTGGGCCACCTGTTGCGGATCCAACTCTTCCCATTTTGACTTAACAAAACCACCAGTGACTATTTCTGTTTCGCTTGTTTCCAATGGAACACCATCAATGTTTTCATCCACTAAGAAAAAAAATTAAAAAAAAGATTAAAGAATTCAATTCTGTATAGAAATTTATTGAAGAAACTTACAAGGCACGCCATCAATGTCATCATCATAATCGCTATGCTCTTCTCTTTCAGGTGTTGGTATTCCACGCATTAAAGCACCTTTTAATAATGCGGCCCCATCAAGTGGAACTCCATCTAACTCTTCATCTTCCTTATCTGACAATGGCACGCCATCAACATTCTCTCCACCTTCATCTTTAACTTCCTTCGTTGATAACCCAAGAAACGTATTTTGAAGTTTTATTAAGAAATCGCGACTGTAAACTGCCCATTCTTCCCATGTACGAAATATTTTCATAATTCGAACTTTAAATCCTTCAGCTTTCAATCTACTCTCTAGCGATTTGTAGCTTTCATTGAGACCCTTAAACATATCAATCAAATTCTTCTCCATTGATTTTCTGAAAAAGCTCGCATTCTGAACTTTAACTGTACAGTTGTGTAGAATGTCAGAGACGAGATAAATTCTTGCAATTTTCTTATGAATGGCTGTTTCAACATTCATCAATGACTCTGCAATGCATTCACAAATTTCGTCAGCAGCGTCTGCATGTTCAATACAAAAAATCATTGCGTCAGCGATTTTCATTCTTTCTGGATTTAAATGCCGAATTAAATCTTCAAGGCGATTTCTTTGCGCAATCGAAAGTTGGCCTTTATTAGGCTCATCTGACTCATCATCTGAAATTAATTCTTCTGGCATGCCCTGGTTGAAGAAGTTTAATTGCGGTGGTTTCCATATGGAAGATCCTTTGAACATTCGAAACTCTTTCTCACGCCATTCTGTTGTTGTGTCGCCTTGTAGAAGTGAAAACAACTTCCATCGATAATAAATATGAGCTGGACTGTCATTATCGTAAAGAAATTTATACATTGGATTGCTAATCTCACGATTCATAATTATAGCTTCAAACATTGGACCTTCACGAATAACAAATTCAATCATCCGATGAATCAACATGAGAAGTGGTCGCTCTGTTGGTATGACAACTTTCACAACTGACTTATATAAAATCTCATCAATTTCAGCCTTTTTTTCAGTGTCATTCATGTAAGCTTTTAAATCAATTTCCTTAAGATTTGTAATGTCACCGAGTGGTTGTGCATTGAACGGAAGTCCTGAAGGTTTCGGTGGCATTGCATATTGATGAAGGACAGGTGGAATGTAAATGGGATGAGCCATTATTGGAACTGCCTTGCCCCATCCCAATTTCATTTCATATCCCATAACATCTTTTCCAGTTAATCCTCGAAGAGCACGTTCGGCATCTTTTCTAGCCATGAAAGCAACAAATCCACAATTTCTTCCACGAGATTTTTCTTCTTCTGAACGAGGCCACATTATCTTAACACTTGCAAGTGCTCCGTATTTTCCAAACAACTCCATTAATTGTTGTTCAGTAATTTTTGGATTTAAATTTCCTAAATACAAATTTGTTGTATTGGGATCGCCATTATCGAAGCTACCCGGAGTATCAGCTTGTACTTCACGATAAATCGGTTCTGGATGTTCGAGGACATTATGAACTGATGCTTGCACCATTGATCGAGCAACGTGCTTATATTTATGTCTCTCTTCTCTCTCTTCTTGCATTTGACGCAATTCTTCTTTAAAAAGTTCCAGATTTGATTTCTTCTTTTCTTGAGGCTTCTTTTTGTGAGCTGAAAGGTCTTTTTTGTTATCGAATGCATGGGGCTTAGAAAGCTCTTGATCTGTTGATGAGCTTCTGTTTTCAGTTTCCAAGTTTTTTGGCATGGGTTTGTAAAGTTTTCCCTTGTCTCGATTGTCTTCCTTTCGTGTACCAGCGTCATAAGTTCCAGCTTTCACCCATGTCTTTGATACTGCCGACGATTGAGGATTCTGGAAAGTTTCGACAAATTCTTTATATACACTAGCCGCTGCTTCATCCTCTTCTCTTTTCTTTTTCTCTTCAATTTCCTTTCGAGATAATTTCTGAAATAAAAATTGTTTAAATAAAAATGAAATTATTTTACTTCATTTAATTAAATCCCTGTTATTCTCATAAGTGTGTAGAATAACATTGTAGCATAGAAGTAATGCAACTCAGAATACCTTCATTTCTAGCTTGAAATTGCAAACTATAGATAGTTTTTCTCGAAGAATGTTTATTTTTATTTACGCCGCTTTTCTTATTCAACAGCGGCGCTACTATTGCGCCATCTGTCGAGTTATTTCAATCTCATAACATTTTTATTTCTTTATAGACGGTCATAAGTTTGATTACAAAAATGTGCAAAGTTTCAACTTTTCCAAGTTAACTTTTATTAATTAAATAATTTCGGAAAATCATAATGTTACAAAAAGTTGGATGTTTGAGACAAATTTTGAAGAATCATGATCAGAATCTATTGAAACGATTACTCTACAACAAACAATTTCATATCGACTTACAGAAAAAATCAATTCAAAATATTCGGTTTCTGACAACATGCGATAACAACTCTAATTCTTTAAAGCCTAATGACCCTATACAAAATAATGTGATCCAAAACGCAATAAAATCATTCAGAGCTAATCCTTATGTGAGAATTATGAGATTAGACCGACCAATAGGTAAATTTTTGTAAACAAATTCATTTTTTAGTTATCAAAAATTTCTTATCTTTATTTAAGGTTCATGGCTTTTGTTTTGGCCTTGTGGTTGGTCTATTGCTTTGAGTGCCTCACCAGGATGTTTGCCAGATCTGTCAATGTTAGCTCTATTTGCTGCTGGTTCTGTAATAATGCGTGGTGCAGGATGTACAATAAACGACCTCTGGGATAAAGATATTGATGCAAAGGTTCAACGAACTAGTACAAGACCTCTTGTTACCAAAGAATTGACAAAACTTGACGCTTGGTTTTTCCTCGGTGCACAACTGGGAACTGGTCTTTTAATTCTTCTTCAATTAAACTGGAATAGCATTCTTCTTGGTGTCAGTTCCTTATGCTTAGTTATAGTTTACCCATTAATGAAAAGGATTACAAATTGGCCACAACTCGTACTAGGATTAACATTCAATTGGGGTGCACTTTTAGGATATTCTGCTGTACACGGTGAAGTGCTGTGGTCCGCATGCTTGCCATTATATGCCGCTGGTGTTTGTTGGACAATTGTCTACGACACTATTTATGCTCATCAAGATCGTGTTGATGATTTAATTATTGGTGTAAAGTCAACCGCTCTCAGATTTGGAAGAGATACTAAAAAGTGGCTCACTGGATTCTCCGGTGTTATGATCACAAGTTTATTAACAACTGGATATGTTTGTGATTTATCTTGGCCATATTATACTTCAATTTTAATAACTTCCGCACATATTGCACACCAAGTAAGTTCATTTATAAATTTTTAAATCAATTAAGCTTGATAATTAATAAACATTCATTTTTCAGATATATACGTTAAACATTGACAATCCATCTGATTGCGCAAAGAAATTCATCTCAAACAATCATGTTGGACTTATTCTATTTGGTGGAATTCTCTTAGGAGTACTTATGCAAAATCCTGAATCAAAGAAAAATAAGGATCCATCATTAATTTTCCAAAGCTTGACAAATTCTCAAGTTCAATTTCAAGAACATAAATGATGAAATTTAAATAAAAATGAGCAATGATTGGGTGAATGTAGATAATGTTATTTTAACGGAAAAAATAAAATGAATTTAGATTCAAAATTCAACGGCGCCGCTTAATGACATGCTGGAAGTAGAAGGTCAGCTTAAAATCTACATCAAAACTTACATTTTTATTGTTTATAAATTTGTGGCGACACACTGAAGTTGAAATGATTTTTAGTTAGATTGTGATATAAAGAGACTAAAGTAATCAAGCATTAGCACAAATTAAAGCACAAAATGTTTTGGCACAAGAAAAACAAAATTTTGTCAAAGGCACAACTAAAGCATTTAAGGTGAGAAAAGGAGAAATTTAGACTTGTATTGCTATGATATAATAACGCTGACGAAAAAAAAATTAAATCAAGCATGTTAAATGTTATTGAGACTACTTTTATTTCGTAACTTTTCTTTTGCTACTTGCGATCTGGATCACAATGTTAGTTTTTTCTTTCATACATCGTATGATTTAATTTTTGATTTTTTCAGCGATCACAAATACAATTGTACATCAGACTCTTATCTGGACAAAATTCTTCAAGTTTGGTGGTGCTGGTTAGTGTCAAAAACTCCTTTATACATCGCGCCCAACCTGTTGACGATCGTTGGACTTTTTGTGAATATTTTAACATCTGTAATTCTTATCTGGTATGCTCCAGATGCAAAAGTTGAAGCACCTCGATGGTGCTATTTGTCATGTGCAATTGGCTTATTTATTTACCAATCATTGGACGCAATTGGTTAGTCGCTGTTAAATTTTTCTTTCCTATTCTTTTGCAATCTTTTTTTTCTTCCTACAATTAGATGGAAAACAAGCAAGAAGAACGAACACCTCAAGTCCGCTAGGTGAACTTTTTGATCATGGGTAAGACATTCATCATCCTTTTTCGTGATATAATTAACAATAAAAAAATATTTTAGATGTGATAGCATTTCAACGGTATTTGTTAGTATTTCTGCTTGTTGCGCCAGTGGCCTTGGAAATCATCCATCAGCGATGTTTCTTAACTGTACCATCGCTGTTATACTATTCTACGTAGCACATTGGCAAACTTACATAACTGGAACTCTTAAATTTGGAAAATTTGATGTAACAGAAGCTCAGTTTTGTATCATATTTATTCACACGATGTCATTCTTCTTTGGAATTGAAGTTTGGCGTACAAAGATTCTTGGTACTGAACTTTGGTTTGGTATGGCAATTTTCTATATTTCTACGTCATTCTTAGTCCTGGCCAATTTTTGTCGAATATTTAGCACAGGAGGAATCGGTAAAAATGGTTCGACTGTTGCTGGCACCAGCATAATCTCACCAATCTTACCTTTTCTTCTCGTCATCATCCCAGCGTTTATCATTAGTGAAAAGTCACGAAGTGGATTGTATGCTAATCATCCTGTCCTATATATGTTGACATTCGGTCTGCTTGCAGCTAAAGTTTCTTGTAGACTGGTTGTTGCACATATGTCGAAAAGCGAAATGAATTACTTCGACTCAGGTTTGATGGGTCCTTTAATTCTCTTCCTAAATCAGTACTTTAATGAGTTCATAAACGAACATTTTGTACTGTGGGTTGCTTTTGCGTGGTGCACGTTTGACCTTTGTTGGTACTGCATACACGTTTGTCTCGAAATGTGCGATCATCTCAACATTCAACTGTTTCGAATCCCATACCCACCAAAAATTTCTAAGCCAACAAATGTTAGGAAATAAATTAAATGAGAGCTCAATGCATATTTTATGTTTCTCATGAGATTTAGACTTTAGCAAATAAACTCATTACGCGTGTGTGTGTGTATGCGTGACATTAATAAAGTCTCCGCGTCATCCAAATTATTTTATTCTCTCATCAACGAGATTTTTGAGACTTTGAATTGCTACATGAATTGCCAATTTCGATTACGTGAAAGTTTTATTGACTTTTGGACTCAAAAAAACCAGATTCGACAGTACGGGAGTCCTAAAGCAGTTTTTATCTATTTAATTAAAATCGGTGTTAATTGATGCATTAAGAGGAAAAATGTTCATTTCAATATGAAGTAAAATGTTAAGAAATAATAAAGACAAAGAAAGTAAAATTGTATAAAACCCCCACATATGATGTTAGATATTTAGAAACGAAACGTAATTTAAATTTTTATTTTTTTGTGACTATGTCATTGACCTCAACTAATAAAAGTCCGAATATTAGAAAACCTGTTTTTGTGTTCAACATATTTGTTTCTGCAATTTTAACGAACGTTTGAAATTTGAATTTAGCTATGACGTTAAACGTTTTGTTTGCAGAACATCAGCAGCGATCTTTTAAAATCAAACTTATCATAAATATCATCAATTTATAAAGATTTCTGGACAAAATATCATCTAATTCAATTAGTTCTTTTCGTTACATTAAAAAATATTCAGAGGATTTAGTGGTCATGGCGAATGGTGCGCATTAAACGCAAAATTACTTTTACCGCCTAAAATCTTATACATTTTGTTGCAGATTATTCTGATTTAGATCGAGCTATTTTACAGACAACAATGGGCAAAGGTACTATAGAGGAGAAAGAATTTCATTGTATTTACAATAAAATGAGAAAGATTTGTACGTAAGAAATTTTTAACTTACAATAGAAAAAAAAAGATTTTTAAAATTTTCAGTTTTACCACAAGAGACAATAATACCAGATAACAGCTTTGTTCAGAGTATTGAGGCCATAAATGAGAAAATCAGTACATTCGATCAAAAAATTATCTTATATGAATATGGATTGACAGATGAAAAATTCTACGTTTTTGCATCAACAGCAAAAACTTCAATGTCAAAAATGCAAGACAGCTATAATGAGACTGAGCTCGATTTCTTCAAACTCATTCTTGCAAAAATTATTGAAAATGAAGATCTCCTCATTTCACCGCGTGCTGCATTAAACCTCACTTCACACATTACCGGAACCAAAATCACTAAGATGAGAGCTCAAAAGCTGTTGGACAACTGGACTCAGTCTCATTATTTCTTCAATCAAAACAACAACATTTATCTTGGAGCAAAACTTCTCACTGAGTTCAAAGAACTTCTTCAAAGCATGGATTTGAGCTATCTTAAAAGCTGTTTATTATGTGAATGTATTGCTCTTTGGGTAAGCTTTTAGAATGTGATTAGTAAGAATCATATTTAATTTTATCTCACTGCATTAAAACAGGGTAAACATTGCGCATTATGTGGTACAACTTACCATTCATCATGTATACAAACGTATCTATCAAAATCAGGCAAATGTCCAAGTTGCAAGGAGAAGTGGATAGTTAACGGACCTGTTTAAACTTTGAAGCAAACATTTCATTCCATTTATTTTTTAAATTTAAAAACATTCAATGCAAAGATATTCAATGATTCGAAATATCCAAGACTGCTACTAGATAGATCAGATTATATTTTTTTCTTTTTCCTCTCTCTCTTCTCTTCTTCAAACAAACAATCACAGTATAATCTCAATTGATAGATCAAAAGTCACTTTCACTAGTTCAGCCCATGCTGTGATTATTTATTGTATTTTTCATTCACATATATTTAGAAGCGACGGGCTGTTTTCAATCTAAGTTATCAAATAACACATCATGCTTCATAATTCAATTATATTATCACGAGGTTAAGTTTGTCAGCAGGCCATAGATCAATTAGTGAAATTTTCTACTATACCTTTCATTTATTTATTTTATTATCAAAAGGCTTAACGTTTTGTGCTTTCTTAAGAGCCTCAAGACGACAATAGGTGAAACCAACAAGTCATTAACTTTTGTTTGTATTGGCTTTTTGTTTCGCAAGAGTTGTGACTTTTTTCTTTCTTTCTACTCGGTAGCTTACACGTTGTGATAATATTAAAAGCTTGAGTAGGTATCTAGTCACTTCTTCGATGAGTTTTTAGTGGTTTCCAATTTAGCTTGACTTGAAAAGATTTCGTTTCACTTTATTCAGCAATTGTGGTTGTTGGGAGGCATAATGCAAGGGAAGACATCGACAATTTGTTGAAACCAGAATGTAAAAAAAATAATTTAAGCTTTAAACAAAAGGAAGAAAATTTCTATGGTTTGTTTAATCACCATAAAACACTCATGAAGCACTTTGTCCCACTTTCAAAAATAAAGCTGATGAAGAGAAGAAAATAAGCATTTGAAAAGAGAAAAAGAAAAATTCACTTTTCGATATACGGAAACTGTTAAAAAGGTAGAGAAATAAGAAATATCTAATAAAATGTGCATTGAAAGGAAAGCGAAAAGTTGAGAATTCAAGATTTTTATCAGACATTTGTTGTTTTTGTGTGCTCGCAGATAAATCGTGAAATCAAGAAAGCGTCATTCGATCTTTTCTTAAGTTTAGTTTTGCTAAGAAGAAATGAGAAATGGCACAACTTACTTAAGAAAGGGAGAGCAATGACTTTTCGTTGTTCTCGCGATCTTTTGAATTAGGGTCACTCACGCTTTCAATTCGATTTTCACTTTTTACAGCACGTATGGACAATTGTTAAGTGATTGTTCTTTTACATACTCGTTTTGAATCATGAATATGAAATTGAAAAACGCCTTTTATGGTTGCTTGTTGAATTACGCGACGAGATATGTTTTGTTTTTTTTTTGTATTTGTTTTATTCTCCTTTCTTTTGATTCTTCACATCAACATCGAACAACGATCTGCCATCGAGCAATTGAACATACCATTTTTTTAAAAGCTTAATTAATCGATTGAAAAAAAAGAAAATTCCACAGCAAAGACGAGAGAAAATTCATAGAGCTGATACATAAATGCCTACTTAATAAGATATAATTTATGGAGTGTGTCAGACACGTTTCTGTATTATTATTGCTTTTATAATTTTTCTCCTTGTTCATACTTGGTTGACAGAGAGGACAAATAAAATAAAAATGCATTGACAAGCTAAACATTCCTGTCATTGAATATTTTAATTGTTTATTATTTCTCTTTCCTCGATCTTCATTCAACTTGATCGTGTTGATTAAGATTTGGCCAAGCAATGACATGTATCAGATATTGAGTAAAATTTCATAGATAACGTCAAAAAGTTAATTTGATTTCTTGGTAAGAAAGAAAAAACAGAAAGAAATTAAGCACTTTTTGTTAACAAACTTTTCTCGTTTCCAATTTGAAAGAATATTGGAAACAGCAAGTAAGAAAATTGTGATGTTACTGTATGCAACTTAACGGTAAAGTGAAAAATGTCTTAAAATCGTGTTTTGAAAATCTGGGACAAAACTGTCAATAACATTTTCCATAACTTTTGCAAAATAAAAAATCTTTCATAGTTTATAAAAAGGAATTAAAGCAATGCTTAAATATTTCAAGATCTTGTTTATTCATTTATAAATCTAATTTATTTGTGCTATTGTTAATATTATCATAACTAAACTTTTCAGAAGCTAACATGAGTGTTTCATAGATTTCATCTGGCAATGTGGTAGGCATTCATCTAATTCATTTAATTAGTTAATCGTTCATTTATTCAAAGAAAAAAGTTCCACATTAAAGACTTTCTTTCGTCATGGGAAAATTCCATAAAAATTCATAGCCTCTTATAAGTGCGTAAGAAATAATTTATGGAATAGATTGCGTGTTTGACAAACTTACTAATATAATAAACTCTTTAATTTCACTTTGATTTCTAAATTCTTAAATGGAATGCAAGAAATCTGCAAATTTCTCAATTAGTTTCGCCATCCATTTGTCAATCATTGATCCTCTGGGATTAAAAAACTTTTACGGAATTTTCTCTTCTCCTTAAATGTTTGACAGCATTTTTCATTGAAAGGCTATTTAGGAATATTATTGCGAATCGATAAATGATAGAATGATGTAAATTTGTGATTGCAGATGTGTAAAGCCTTCCAACACGTGCCTTGCGACTCGCAAACATTCAATGGCCTAGTCCGCCTTAAACCGTAAGAAATTTCAATAATAGAAGAAAAAATTCATGTCTCAAGACGAAAGTGAAAAGTTTCACTTTTCAAAAGCAAGTCGAATCGGAATCAAAATGTTTATGTTAATATCATCAAATGATATGTTTGTCTATTGCTTCTTTCTCTCTTCGAAGTCGCTAGAAGTGTAGAAAATGCGTTTAAAATTCTCTTTTAATGATCGTCACGTTTTTTTTCTCTTTTCATTTGTGCTTCTCACAAGTCAAAGCTCGATGAAATGTTTATTTATAACTATGTCGATGTAAAGACGGATTGCTGTAATCAATTGCCAGTGGATAATGATAAATAATTTAATATCAAGAATTAGCAAATCGAAGCTTTTATAGCTTTAGATGGAGTTAGAGAAAGTTATCGCTTTATTTTGCTGATGGAACTTTTCAACTCTTTTAATTTATTCATTTATTTTTCCTTTCAGTGTTAATATGAACAATAAAATCATTTTTAAATTGATTATTCGCACTATTTTTGATTATGTAAACATTTTATATAATAATTTAAGAAAATTCACAGAATCATAATTAGAAGCATTAATTTTTTGTCAGTGACAATTAAAGATTGCGATGAATTATACAAAAGGTTCAACTGAAGCTTTGAGATTCCTCAAAAAGAATGTAAAGAAGTTTAATTTACTTTGGGTAAATCTTTTGACACATAACTAAATCAATAATTCAATCTTACATTAAAAAACATTTGCAAACTTCACACGAATTATCGAAATAAAAATTGTTGCTAATAAATATGTTGCAAAATATTCTTTTTAATCAAATAATAACTTCATTTCTAACATATAAATGTCAAAAATAATCATATTGTATTTGCGATTAAATTAATTTGTAGTAGATGCAAACAAATAAAATTTTATGCTTCTTCAATATGTTAAACATAATTTCATTTGATTGCATACATTTACAACTCATCTTACAAATTATTTATTAAAAAGAGAATCAATATTTGTATGCATCAAGAAATTTATTTCTCATACATTAATGTATGCATAAATATAAATTGAATTCTAAACTACGAAAGAAAATAACAAACAATCTTCTCTTCTTGTCCCCATACCTTACAATGTAACAAACTCTCTCGGATCTCATGCTAACATACAGAAAAGATGCTGCTTTGAGCAACATAGAAAATCTTCTTGAACACACCAAGAAAATTATCAAGAAAATCTCAAAATTTCTTCGAAGCTTCTTTCTTTACTCTCTCGTTTTCAACTCCCTTCCTTTTATTTATCCATTCGCTCAGTTAAGTTTCATGTTTAAAGTTTATAAAACGTTAAGGCCTTGGCAATGAAATCTTCATTCTTGTTTCGTCTATTGAGTCGTTCGGTTGCATTTTGAAGTCATTTGTTTTTTTGACTCGCTGGAAAGTTTTTCTTGTTTTTTTCTTTCACATTTTTTTGTATTTCTTTATATACATAGCCAAGTAGTTTATGGATCATTTCACTTCCATCATTTGATGGTGCAACATCGCGAAAATAAAAGTTCACGCCTCATTTAACTTTTTTTTGGTGTTCCACTCAAAAACGTTGAGCAGATTAAACTTAATTACATCTCGATGGATAAAGAGAAGCAGCACAATTAAGAGACATTGAAGTGAAAAAATAACTTATTCATGTTAAAAAGTGTTACAGGAATTTAAAAGTTTAATTTGATATTCAAATTGAAAAAGAAAGCGAGCGGATGCACTTTTCAATGAACTCTCGAGACGCGACAATTGTGAGCTTAGTTTATTGTTGTGTGAATTAAATTGAGGAACGAAAATAAAAAAAACCCGATAGTTTGTGCAACTTACTAAAGAAATTAAACAATTGGAAGAAAATAAAGAAAAGAAAAAAACTCTGATCAAAAAGTGATCTTAAGAATTTTGCAAGTGTACAACGTATACAGTTCTGATATCAATAAGATAAAAAAATAAGAATGTTGAAATTAATGATCTTGGTAGCATTTTTATTGCTGCAACTGGCTTATGCTCAAGGTGGGATTTTTTTTCTTCTTTCTATGTAGATAGTTAGTAAATAAAGAAAAACGGTTAAGCTTCATGCTCGTCACCTTTCATGATTCTGAAGATTTCTCAAAAATTCGCATTAAATACTCTCTCATCTTAAATATTTTGTTCCCATTATCCATCTTGCACGGAAACAATTCATGTTCATTAACATCGCTTTCTGTCTACACCGAATGTAGAACATTTTTATGGCTATCTGCATTTTGTAATAAACCTGACAGAAACTCTAATAGAAATATATATATATATATGTAGATAGATGGTGTAACTGTTCTTTTCTGTTATGTTTTTACTTGTTAATTAACAGTGAATTTAACTATCTACAGTGAATAATTTAGATTAGTGTAAACATGCAATTAGAGAAAAGGTTCTCGCCAAACAACTGCTAATCCCTTTGACAAAAGGTGATAAAAGCACGATGAGAAATGTTAATAAAATCTAAAGAAAATAGCTAATAAAAAATAAAGCTGCAGTTTAGATTTGCAAATTTAATAATCTTCTCACTAAAAGTTTAGTTTTGAACAAAATTATTTAAATTTTTAGTCGTAATAAAATTCTTAGAAACTCTCAATGCTAAATCAAAGCTAAATCAAAAATATTATTTAAAGAAGGAACATTATCGATATAATAGTCTATTCACACTCAAACCGTGATGAAAAACAGTTGTTCAGCACGATCTGAAGTCAATTCTGACAAAGCTCTAAAGAAAATTATGATGAGATTTTACAAGTTTGCTAACAGTTTTAGAGCGATTTTTATTTTCCGTTTTTTACTTCTTTGAAGAAACCAATAGAAAGTTGCTGTTTAATGACATGCTGCGGCTTACAACTTCAATTCTAAGCCATTTTAATTGCAAATTTTTTCCAATGTTTTTTAAAGCCATGAAGGATGTAAGTTGCTTTCATTAATAAGAGAGAGCTAAAGTGAGAGAACAAATTTAACAACATATTTTCATGCTATGACAAACTTTGTAGCGATTTGTGTCAATAACTTCAAGTTAATTATAAAAAAAATCAAATCTAATTTTGTTTATAATTTAAAACTGAGAGGAAAGAAATTTTTATAAATTTTTTTCTCAATTGATTTATGTACATGTAGTTGTAGAACCATAATTAGAATCTGATTGTTTTCGCAAATTAATGTTAACATATCATAAATCTTCGTAAGCTGATTTCATTCATTTTAAGTATGTTTATTTCATGCATTGTTTGAATCGTTGAACCAATTGTTTTGTTTGATAGAAAATGAATCTTTAGTTCTTTTAATCTATTTAGATTATTTATTTTAAGGTAAAAGAATTATTATTTTGTTAACAATTTTGCATTTACCTATTCAAACAAACAATAGAAATAACATATAAAACATGAATTAAATATGGTGCAACATGAAATATATTTGAATTTACATTTCATTCAAAATAATATTTAACTGTATTTAAACGCCACAAATTTATTGAATCAGTTTTTATTCCATGCCTTGCTTGCTTTTGAAAACTAATTTGCTAACTTTTGGAATAGTGTTTGCTGCCACATGAGCTTTCAAGAAATAAGACTATGACAATTGCGGTAGCATAATCCATCTACGAACGTTTGTATGTATCTGAAGAATATTGTAAAGAAGAAAGCAAATAAGTGTGGCTTGAAATTGATATTCTACAATCTCAATACGACTCAATTTGAGGAAGCAACGGAAAAAATTTAATGATCTCAATAGACTTACCTCTCATTTATTTTCCTTTGTGCAACCTGAAAAATTGATTAACTCCTCGAATATTAAAGCTTCGTGCGTGTACCGTTGATTTTCGACTGGGATTCACAAGCACCAGGAGAAAGAAAAGTAGTTTGTAAAGTAAAAAAGTTAATCTCGTCTGATTTAAATTTCAATAGCTCAACCACAACTCTTGTTCATAGTCATTCATAGCGTGAGACAAGTAGATACTCTTCTTAAGTCGTTCATGCTTGATTTTGGCTTAAGATCTCATTCCATAGCGCAACCGGCTCATGGCTTGCTTGTTTCGATTTACTTCGGAAAACATTTGTAAAACTACTGAAAGAAATGTGACAGGAAAAGTTGCAGCATATATTAAGGAACAATTTTCCTGTACACACCAATTATCTAAATCCTATCGTATAAGTTTAAAAATGTTTTTCAAAGTAAATCGAAGCAAGCAAGCCATGACTGGGTTGTGTCTAAGTATGTATGTCTCACTTAATCGACAGAAAGAAAAAGCAGAATTTCTTTTCCGAATACATAAGTATCTAAATGCCACACTGTTGTGATATCAATTTCTTGAGTAGTTTGAGAAATTTTTGATATTCAAAATTGACTTACGTGTACGCAGAACATGGAAGAATAAAATTTGCATTTATGATTTAGTAGCAAAAAAATCTCATAGAATATTATTTACTGTTTAATAATGATGGAATTAAAAGCCAGAATCAATTAATTCTTCTTATTGCTTTATAAATCTAATCTAATCTAAATATGCTCAGCAAAAAAATTCTATTGATCTGAATTCTTTTTCCCCCAATGCGGTATTTTTATATTATAAAATTAAATATTATCAAACGTAAAGGAAAAAGATGTTCAATTGTAATTTTTTTATTGAAAAATTTATTCTAATTTCTTTTTTATTATAAACTTGAATTGTAAAGATTTCTTAGCATTGCAATTCGCTCTTTAGTAGGAATTAAACGTCATACAGGAAGAAAAACATTATTTATTTATTAAAGCTTTATCATCATGTAAAAGTCAAGATTTAAACTTTGAATAACATCGAGAATGTTCTTAAGTTGCACCATGCGCCAACCAGACTTTCAACATTTCACTAGACAAAACATTTTATCTATGACTTCTAAACAAGTTTTATTCCTTCGTCATTAGCTAAAAGTTGGCATTAACGTTATTTATGTTTTCATCGAGATTAATTCGTTATGTGGGTATTAACAAAATAAATGCAACTTAATAAATGTCTTCCCAAGTATAAAACGATCAACTTGCGACATCATTAAAATCTGAAATTCTTTTCACATACCAATAATATTTAATACTATTTAAAATGACATTTCATAATTAAAAAGTATGCAAATTTATTCGTTGTGATAATAATTTCACTTTCCTTCAATTTTTTGGAAGTGAAAGAAGACATTTTAATATTCAAAGAGAAGATTTCCACAATTTTAAATTCCTGATCGACAAAGGCGTGAATCACCTTTCATGATAGCTTCGGCTGATATATAAATTATAGATTAAATTTATTGATCATTGATGATATTATAATTAAGTCAATTAAGTTTGTTTTCATTTCGTACCATGAATCGTTATTCCGTAATGTTTTAACGAGAGCATTCGTCGGATGCGAGCAACGTTAGAAAGTTAATTAACATATACATCATAAATAGATAGAAATGAACGTATATTATGACCTAAGCTGTTATTACTCATCCGTGACATTGAAAAGAAAGTGAATGTGAAGCAATCATTTTCAAATTTATGCAGATACGCCAACTTTTCAATGTCAATCATTGACGGTTTCAATATCGAATGTGTCAAAAATATGTTTCTTGATTAACATGCTGATTAAAACCTAAATTTGCCTTTTTAATTGAAGAACAAAACTTTTGCGAAACTTTCCAAATCAGTGAATTTTAATATTTTTTCTCTATTAATAACAGAGTCTCAACCAGCGGTTATCACAAACCCAAATAATAATAGCAGAGAAAGCAAAGCGATATCTTCAAATTGCCCGCGATCATGTCCACCATCAAGCACTGAGACCGAGCCCGTATGTGGCACTGATGGAATCATTTATGCAAATTCCTGTGAAATGAAAAAGAAAACTTGTACGAAAGGAAACATTAACGCTATCAAAGAAGACCAACAGGGCTGTGAACGATCGAAAGGTTCAGAATGTAATCACCGGTAAAATTGAAAAAATAAATTAATTTAAAATATTTTTAATTTACACACATTTTAATTCAGATGTCCAACAGAGAAAGATTTAGTTTGTGGTACTGATGGACGCACGTATTTAAATCGATGCATGTTAGCAGTTCAAGCATGTCGTGTTGGAAAAGCTGCAGTAATACTCGCACACATGGGTCCATGCGCAGCGGGCTCCGTCATCCGTGAATCATGTCCAGTCGATTGCAACAGTGCACCTCAAGACGGTCCAATTTGTGCGTCTGATGGAAATGTTTACAATTCTACATGCCAGATGAAACTGTTAACGTGTGGACAAGGAGTTGTAAGTCAAGTTAATGATTGATGAAGTCAATGAACCACGAAAAAAATGAAATGATTAACATCGTCTCATTTCTCTTATTCTCTTCTTTGTCATTAGGTTCGTAAAAGCCGCAAGCATTGTCAAAGCACAAGAAATTGTCGCGAATCTTGTTGGCGCGTTGCAAGACCCACCTGTGGTTCCGATGGACGTTTATATGCAAGCGCTTGTAAAATGCGATCATCAAACTGTGGCAAACACGTTTTTGAAGTTCCGATTTCATTTTGTATGTCTCAGGAGAGAACTGGAAGCATCAACAACTATTTAGGTGATTGTCCCACATCGTGTGCCAATGAAGAAGAGAAAATTGTTTGTGGAAGTGATGGACATGTTTATACATCACAATGTGAATTAAAGATGCTCAACTGTGGGTAAGAAACCGTGAAATTTTCATTGAAGCGTGATTGATGATTAACGTTTTTATTATTCGAAGATCACAAAAGAAAAACATTTATGCGGCTCCGATCGAAAAATGTCTAAAGAAAGTCGATCGATGCAAGAAGTCGTCGGAGATTGCTTGCAAGCAACTTCAGAAAAAACAGAGCTCGATCTTTGGTAAGAGTGATGAGATTTGTGGAACTGACTCGAAAACATATGCCGATGAATGTGAACTACAAAAAGCAACATGTTTGTAAGTATTTTTCAAAGCTTCCGGTTTTAAATCAACAATGAATATTTACGAAACTTTTATTTCTTTTTAACGTTTCACTCAGACGTGGAGTTCAAATGGCCCATATTGGACCATGCACGAATCTTAAAAATGAACCTGAATGCGAGCCTTGCAAAATTGATGACTACCGGCCTGAACCGATTTGTGCATCAGATGGAAACGTCTATCAAAACCAGTGCGAGTTGAAAGAACAAACTTGTGGTCTTCATGTGGTTCCTGTTTCACTTCAGAACTGTCCAAAGACCCAGTTCTGCGATGTCGATTGTGATGAATTATACGGTCATCAAGCAAGCTACATTTGCGGCAGTGACAACAAATTATATAAATCTGAGTGTCACATGAGAAAAGAGAATTGTGGAAAGCACGTTTTTATTGTGCCAATTAAACGATGTCTCGCTGCCTTCGCATTCAAGGGATGTGCTAGAATATGCCCACAAGATTATGAACCAGTTTGTGGAACTGATGACAAAACATATTCAAATGACTGTTTTCTAAGTATTGAAGGTTGTCGCTCAAGAAACTTTGTCACTAGAAAACACATAGGAGCTTGTGGACGACCGGAGAAGCCATCAACAAATTATTTGTACTAATTTTGAAAACAAAGTTGAATTTACCTATTTCTGTGACTATTAAAAAATTCCTTTTATTTATTGACTTATAGTAAGAATCATTTTCTGTTTAAAACTATTTTCAAAATGAAAATAAAATTTTAATTTAGATTTGAGATTTGTTAGTCAATTTTTATTTTTAAAATCTGTTAGTTCATCATCAGCATTTTTATTTACGACAAGTGAATGACAGATGCTAAGTTTGTGTAACTTTCAGGAAGTCAAATTGGTAATTTGATGACTGAGAAAATTCATCAAACTTGCTTCTTGCAAATTGTAAATATTTTTCAGGTTGATGATTTTCGTCTATCGCTTTCGAGAGATTCATTCTGAAACTTTCTTGCAAATGATCTTCTTACAATGACAATTTCTTATTCACAGATATTACTTCCAATAACATTTTCATTATCACCATTTAGTAAGAATAAAAATCAGAAAAAATGAATCAATAAGCACGTATCTACTTGAAGTTCATTACCCGAGTAAATAAAAAAAAGAATACAAACAAATTGACTCAAAAATTTATTTTAAATTAAAGGAATTAGAGTAAAAAATTGAGGTTCTGAGTTTTGTAGGGTAGAACACCACAAACAGAAAATGTTCGAGGAATGTTTTACTGCATATTTTGCGGTCTTCTTTTAAAAAAGCATCACCACCTAGGCTCTAAAAGACATTTTTTATTGAGCAATTAGGTATAAAAAAATCTGTCAATAATTAAGAAGATTGATTACATCCGCAGAAGAAAGAGATGCAAAAATGTAATTTGAAGTAAGAAAAACTTTTCTGAAGTGTTTTTACTTTATTGTTAAATTGAAAAGAAAGCCATAAATACGGGCAGACACTTCAAGTCTTGATCTCATCTTGAACTTCAAGCAGTTACTTCCTAATGACAACATCAGGCTACGGAGACGAGAACGTTCATTATTTTTTTAGAATACTTGTATTGTAACTCATATGAATTACGAAAGGTAATAGCTACCAATTTTATTGAGATAGTCATAAAATATTCAAATTTGAATAAAAAGTTGTAAAACTATTTTCACGATGATGCTTTCGTGATACTTTTTCTATTTCTTAACATTTAATTTATGCATTTTTTATGTTGCTACTTATGTACATATAAAACTACTAATTGATGAAAGGGAAAGCTTGAGAAGCATGAAAATCATGATCAGCAAAATAAACTTAGAGAGGTCATTTAATACAATGCTCGAACGACTGAAACTGCAGAGTGAATTAAAAAAATGGAAGAACAATTAAAAAAAGCTGAAGATGGATTGAATATATCAAAGGAGAGGCAGTTGATTTCTTTAATGAATGAAGTGAAAGAGGAAACTTCTGATCATGACATTCCAAGTCATCAAGATGAAGACAGAAATGACTTGCGAATATATCATTTAATATCGATAAATGACTTTTTCCTTTCAAAGGCTTGATTTGATTCTTTAATTTCAGGCTCATGATCACTACCCGTTTCAGTTCAAGAATCTTTTTGCTGTTCAATCCTCTATTTACCTGAAAAAACATTAAATACAATTTGAAATTTAGCATTAAGTCTTAAATTAAATCCAAAAAATTAAGGAGACAATTAACTATTTAGTAAGTCAGAAGAAATTAAAATAAACGATTCAAATATTCTTTATCATGAATTTTTTTACAACAGGTTCGAATACTTAACTAACTACCTGCTTATTTCTTATATCATCTTGTATAATTTATTTAACAATTTTAAGAATATTTCAGTATTTTTTCATAACTTTTTATTCATAATTTTTATATCTTATGTGATATTTAAAAACAGTATCCAAGTCCAAACATTCTAAAAAATTGTTTAAANCGATTATTTTGAAACTTTATCATTGATAAAGATGGAAAGTTTCACAAAAAGCTTAAATTTTTTAAATAAAAGGAAGAGTTTTTGCACAACTGGCATCATTGTCTTCAGTTCATCATAGAATTCACTTGACTTCAAGATGAAAGGTTTAACAATTTTGTTGTTCGCAACTGTCATTGCTTCTAGTGGTAATTCATATTTAATTTTAATTTTCTTAACAATTCTTAATTTTTTTTTATTTCCATAAAGATGCTGCTCAGAAGTGTGAAGAAGTTACAGATCCGTGCGCTTCTGTTAGGGCAGATGCAGCTCCCATTTACGAGAATGCAAATAATGTTTTCAAAGAGGTTGATGACAGATGTACACCACTTTTTGAAGCTGTAGAACCGAGACCAGCATCGGATGAACTCACCGCAGAACTCAGCCAAATTTTATTGCAATGCTCACGTGATATGGAAGATGACTATATAAATGCCTTTACAGGCCTTGGAGAACTCTTGGGAATAGACCCTCCTCAACTTTATTTGCTTATGTTTTTAAATAATGAAAGGGAAGGTTTGAGCGTTTGTCATCATCATCATCATCATCATCAAGTCTCGGACGAGTTTCTCCTTATGAGAGACTCCACATGATTGCGTTAGCAATCATGTTGCATTGGACATTATGGTTGATAACAGTTAAACTGCTACAACCGCCCGTTATGCGTCCACTTAATGTCTAACAGAAGATGACATTAAGCTGAAGGAAGTAGCCTTTGTCTCTCTTTTTCAGTTAATTTTTTTATATCTGATAGCCTTTTGTCCTTTGTTTGTGCCTGAAGCATTTCTGCCACAGGCGAGAGATGATTGAATTTGTCAATGACAAAGACAACCAACTCCCAGAGTTTCATTTGTAGTGCGGTAAACCCATGGGAACGGCCGCATTGCAAGTGTTCCATTTTCAGCAGCGTTCTTAGTCTTTGCATTCTCATTGCTCGCCTTGATACGAATATCAATTTGATGCAAAGGAATTTCAAGACCAGCCGACTGCTTAGATGAAACACTCGCTTCGGGCCGAAATATCTAAATTTCACCTTACCTCATTGACACCGGGAATCGAACCGGGGACCTTAGAATTAGGTTCCCGACACAACCACCCTGAGCCAATGAAGCCAAATGAGCCCTTCANCTCTTTCCCTACACGACGCTCTTCCGATCTGATTGAATTTGTCAATGACAAAGACAACCAACTCCCAGAGTTTCATTTGTAGTGCGGTAAACCCATGGGAACGGCCGCATTGCAAGTGTTCCATTTTCAGCAGCGTCATAGTAAGAATCATTTTCTGTTTAAAACTATTTTCAAAACGAAAATAAAATTTTAATTTAGATTTGAGATTTGTTAGTCAATTTTTATTTTTAAAATCTGTTAGTTCATCATTAGCATTTCTATTTACGACAAGTGAATGACAGATGCTAAGTTTGTGTAACTTTCAGGAAGTCAAATTGGTAATTTGATGACTGAGAAAATTCATCAAACTTGCTTCTTGCAAATTGTAAATATTTTTCAGGTTGATGATTTTCGTCTATCGCTTTCGAGAGATTCATTCTGAAACTTTCTTGCAAATGATCTTCTTACAATGACAATTTCTTATTCACAGATATTACTTCTAATAACATTTTCATTATCACCATTTAGTAAGAATAAAAATCAGAAAAAATGAATCAATAAGCACGTATCTACTTGAAGTTCATTACCCGAGTAAATAAAAAAAAGAATACAAACAAATTGACTCAAAAATTTATTTTAAATTAAAGGAATTAGAGTAAAAAATTGAGGTTCTGAGTTTTGTAGGGTAGAACACCACAAACAGAAAATGTTCGAGGAATGTTTTACTGCATATTTTGCGGTCTTCTTTTAAAAAAGCATCACCACCTAGGCTCTAAAAGACATTTTTTATTGAGCAATTAGGTATAAAAAAATCTGTCAATAATTAAGAAGATTGATTACATCCGCAGAAGAAAGAGATGCAAAAATGTAATTTGAAGTAAGAAAAACTTTTCTGAAGTGTTTTTACTTTATTGTTAAATTGAAAAGAAAGCCATAAATACGGGCAGACACTTCAAGTCTTGATCTCATCTTGAACTTCAAGCAGTTACTTCCTAATGACAACATCAGGCTACGGAGACGAGAACGTTCATTATTTTTTTAGAATACTTGTATTGTAACTCATATGAATTACGAAAGGTAATAGCTACCAATTTTATTGAGATAGTCATAAAATATTCAAATTTGAATAAAAAGTTGTAAAACTATTTTCACGATGATGCTTTCGTGATACTTTTTCTATTTCTTAACATTTAATTTATGCATTTTTTATGTTGCTACTTATGTACATATAAAACTACTAATTGATGAAAGGGAAAGCTTGAGAAGCATGAAAATCATGATCAGCAAAATAAACTTAGAGAGGTCATTTAATACAATGCTCGAACGACTGAAACTGCAGAGTGAATTAAAAAAATGGAAGAACAATTAAAAAAAGCTGAAGATGGATTGAATATATCAAAGGAGAGGCAGTTGATTTCTTTAATGAATGAAGTGAAAGAGGAAACTTCTGATCATGACATTCCAAGTCATCAAGATGAAGACAGAAATGACTTGCGAATATATCATTTAATATCGATAAATGACTTTTTCCTTTCAAAGGCTTGATTTGATTCTTTAATTTCAGGCTCATGATCACTACCCGTTTCAGTTCAAGAATCTTTTTGCTGTTCAATCCTCTATTTACCTGAAAAAACATTAAATACAATTTGAAATTTAGCATTAAGTCTTAAATTAAATCCAAAAAATTAAGGAGACAATTAACTATTTAGTAAGTCAGAAGAAATTAAAATAAACGATTCAAATATTCTTTATCATGAATTTTTTTACAACAGGTTCGAATACTTAACTAACTACCTGCTTATTTCTTATATCATCTTGTATAATTTATTTAACAATTTTAAGAATTTTTCAGTATTTTTTCAGAACTTTTTATTCATAATTTTTATATCATGTGGGCTTGGTCAATTCACAAATATGAAACTGGGGATTTCTAAATTAATTTCTATAAGGCTCTCACCAATATTTATTG